ACATTAGGTCAAGCATTAGCAAAATTATCAACTAAGGATGATTGGGATCAAAAGATAGCACCCATATTATTCGCCTATAGAAATAAAAAGCACAGTTCAACAAAAATTCGACCATTTTATCTAACATATGGGAGAAATGTACGGACAATAATGGATGAAGATATCAAAGAAATCAACCTGAGTGATAGAATAGTTGGATTATTAGAAGAATTACCGAAAATCCGATATGAAGCCAAAGAACAAATATTAAAATCTCAAATAAAACAAAAAGAATATCATGACAGAAAAATAATTAAAGAACATACCTTTGGAATTGGAGATAAAATATTACTTTATGATAAAGCCAAAGCACAACAATTATCTGGAAAATTAGAATCAAAATGGTTGGGACCATTTTACATTCATGAAATACTACCAAATGGAGCCTACAAAATTAAAGATATTAAGGGTGTAATCAAGAAAACACCTGTGAATGGAGAATTATTAAAAATCTACCATACGCCGATGAGTAGATAACAATGGTTATCAGTCAAACTTAGAAAAATAAAATGATTTATAATCATGTGAACTAAAATCACATGATACGAAAAATAATTTTTGAAAATAGGAAAAATTAATGAAAATCTCCAAAGAAAGACCTAAGTGAAATCCGGTACAAGAAAACCGTGAAATTCAAAAGAACACATGACAAACCACGGGAACAGCCGCAGGACGCAGCTAAGTCAAGTAACAACGCATGCTTGATTTAGTGGTATAATTCGCACCTACCACTTCGAGACACGAGTTCGATTCTTAGAATAAATTTAATGTGGGCATTAAATTTTCATGCGGGGGATAGTTGTAATGCCGTAGTATACATAGTAAATTTATTAATTGTGAGGCGCAGTATTACATTTAATCTTAGTGTATAAAATTTTAATTTATTTTTAGTTGTATTAATAAATAGACCGAAAAGTCGTTAAACTATTGATCAGGTGATTCAAGGATAATTGGTCCGTGATGACCTTAAACTATTAGTCACGAGATTTAAGGATAAATGAAGATCCGAAAGATACTAAATTAAATAAAGTCAAGTGATCTGAGGTATCAAATGACTAAGTTGCTGATCATGACGTTAGTATTATAAATCATAATTCAGGAGTTAATGACGATCAGATGGATACAGAATTAAGATAATGGAAATACTTTAAAATAATGGAAATACTTTAAAATCATGGAAATACTTTAATAATTTAAATCCATGAATCGAAATTACGAATTTGGTTACACAAAAACAAACATAAAAGGGCGTGAAGATCACCTTTTGGGAGAAAAATTAGACGAATTTTGTTATGAATTATTCATTTTGTTATTTAATGTTATTAAACCAAGCATATTATTGTATTTGTTTATATTATTAATAAAGAGTCATTTTGTTAATACCTGAGGTGGCAAACATAATTCTCTATGGGCTCAGGTGTTACACTGTATTACATATTTCTCGGCGAATATCAAATATGTTAATAAGGTATGTTTGTTTTGTTGCTCGACTAGTTTCTAAAAGAACGTCATCAATGTTAATCGATTTTTCCGGCTCTATAGATGCTCAAAGTCAAAGTGGACATATTACTATTCTTGATCTTTTTATCAATTTGCGGAATATACGAGTTCGTTTGATTAATATTATTGATTACGTAAATAATGGTAAGTTTGATTATTTCGTTTGTTATTTCTTCACCTTACTTGCACAAGATAGATAAAAGAGTTCACTAATCGGGTCTCACCTTTTTATATAATTTACAGGATCAATTTTGAAATACACTTTTGGGGAGATTACGTTAATATGATCGCATCACGAAAATCTGATTAACGGATTTATAATAAAAAAAACTTTTGACGCTACCATACACAAAGACCTCTTTTTTTTATACGTAAAACTTTGAGTATATGAGAATAAATTACGTGTTCCTGGGATACAAACATTACTTATCAAATTCAGATTACATATTCGATTACAACTTTCATATAGGACGTGATTTATTTTATTGTGGGACTTTAGGTCTCACTTTTTTTATCACCATACATTTTCTATATCCCACGAAAAATATTCTTAATACAATGTATAGCCATTTCGGATGAATTATTTATTGATGTAGTAAATAAATTACATGATTCGGCTCATAGAGTCATAGCCATGATACACGACGGCCGAAAGGCGCCTTGCTAAATTTTCTACACTAATATACATGATTATTGACTATAGATTATACCGTCACATATATCTCTATTTGCCGGACTTCATTATACAATATGCTGGTCTTATAACGCTATGTTAAATAGTTGGGTGGTCAGTCAACCAAGTATGTGGTAACATAAAATAATGAAAAATGAAAACTGAAAAGATTCGAAGCAATAAGAACCGATTTAATTTCTCGAAGTGGAGTTCTCTTTGTTGCATTTCTTTCCGCTCATACCATTCTACAGGTCCCTATAAATTAGCATTGAAACCTTATGTTAGTTCTAGCTCATTCACTTCAGGCCATAATAGTGAATACCAAAATGGTATCGTAAACAGTGACCATTTTGACAAGTGGTTGTACACCATGACCCAACTACCTTAGGGATAAGCATACATTTCGGGAGTGACTATATATATGGTATCCTTCACCACCATCTATATCCTCTATTATGACCATCAGATCCTTTGCAAGAGTGACTCAAGAGCACTTGGCAGCCAACTACTATATCTTCAAGACGGTGAATTTGAACCTGATGACTTATATTCAGGTACCTTAACTAAGGCTCCACTTTCAAAGATATAACCCTGGGGTGGGTTCTCGTACGATGGGCCCCAGTCATCTATTTGCAACCCTTTAAAGCCGTTCGGTCAGCCCTCATAAACCTTCGCACGTTGCTTTCGCGGTGTGCAGTCAAGGATTATGGTCAGTGGGTGATAGAATACTCTTTACCCACCTCTTAAAAATTCCAGTAAACAGTAACATTTGTTAGACAGTAGGTTTTAATGTTTAATTTCTTCATAGGTCGGAGGCGACGTTATTATCCATAAAAGCCTTTTGTTATTCGTATGGACCGTCCCGTCATCTCTTTTTTTTATTAGGAGAGTTTAAAACTCGGGAACTACATTATTATTTGTTTTTTTTTGTTGGGAGAGTTTTTTTATTAGGTAGTGGCTTTTTTTGTTGGGAAGTACCTTTTTATATTATTTTCTTATCACGTGATATAAGTATATAATGTTGTCTATTGTTGTTATCAATCATGACTAATAGTTGTTTGATATATGAGTCATCTTTACTAACTCAGATTGTATTATGTATGATAAATAATATTAATAATATGCAATTATAAGATTTCCAACTAATAAACATATCTTTACTAGGTAATAAAAAGTGAGTTCAACACGAGATCAAATCGTAAAATAACTTACTCACAATTGATTTCTTCAGTATCGTTCAAATCGTTTGTAACAGTATAGATGTCCTCCTTAAAATCATTTTTGGATTTGTAGTTTTGTGGGTTTGATGGATTTGCGTGCCTTATATTATCATACATGTTTTTTATTTTTACATTTTCTTTTGGTAAAAAGGCGATGAATAATAAAGTCAATATAAATCTTGTGGAAGTTTTTTTTTTCCAAAAGTGTGTGGTGTGAATGATAAATCATGAAAGTAGATTCAATAAATTTTTTATATAATATCGAGCATATTGCGAAAATAGTTTCCACTACATAATTTAAAATACTTAAGATTGAATATTTTATGTTTAATATTTTTATGTACGCCATAACCTCTTTCGATTTCTTGATCATATTTCTACTTATGATAACCATTATTTATTTATTTTTACACAAATCAATTAGTAATTTATTTTATATATTCTATATTTACAGACTGTACTTTTATTATTATCCACTGTTCATGGCCACATTAAAACGAAGAAAATTTATTAACGAGCTCGTTATTGTGATCCTGAATTATTAGAGAGGAATTACAACTTCAAAGATGATCAAGATATAAAGTCAAAGTAAATTGATTAATCCAGGGACTGAATTTGTTTTAAATAATTTTCTAATCGATTTACCCTTTATGAAATAAAATATTTCTTTTATGTTAAAATATTTTTCTATAGAAAATTGAATATAAACATGACGCTTATAATAAGGTAAAAAAATATTACTCTCAAAAATAAGAATTTTAACAAGTTCATTAAAATATCACAATTTTATTATTGTTTAACCAACTTAATGAGAAAGCAAGGCGGGTTGTAACCCAAATTTAATTGTAGTATGATCAATAATAATTTCGATCTCGTAATTTTTGAGAAATTTATTTCTTTATATTTCAGTTTTGTTTACATACAGTAAATTGTCTTTCGAAATTTTTTCAAAATTTAAGTTTTTTCAATTACAGTACAATTATTATTTAGTATACACCCTATCAAATATTACATAAAAAAAAAACATTATTACGTCTTTAATAATTTTATTGGCTTGGTAAGTCGCAAACTTTTTTTATGCACAATCCATACGGTCTGATATCATCATCTCCTGGTATAACCCAATAATTATTACTATTATACATACTTAATCTTGCAGGGTTAATCCTATTCTGAAAAACAACCTTCCATCTAGCGTTATAGCGGTCAAAATGTGTAGCATATCGTTCAGCAACATTAATTTGAGGGGATGAATATATTCCCGATCCATATGCAAAGCGTACTCCTCTATCAAGCTGATAACCCTCTCTCGCAATAGAGTCTGCAAATTCCGATTTAGTTCCATGATAAGAAACTGGCCATTCATGAGAGCTAGTGCCAACACTTCCCAACCATGTCTTATCAGTTCCATACCTTCTAACATTAAGAGCAATTCTTTTCCATCCATAAGGTCGTCTGTATAATTCCATTCCACGAATGAAAGTTGCTCCATTATCTTGCAAATTTGTGAAGTCATAATCATATGTTGGTTCCAATATATCATCTCTGATAACATAAAAATCATAGTTGCCTCCAAAGACTTTAGACAAAATTTGTATTGTACAATATTTCTCTATTTTGTAAGATGTTAGAGTTCTATTATCATCCAGTTGTTTACCATTAAATGTAAGACGTATCATCTTAATATCAGATCCAAATTTTGCACAAATGGCGCCTTTAAACTCAAGAACAGTGATACTTGGATCAACAAACATTGATTGGCTATCCTTATCGAGAGGTTTGAGAGGTTTGACGAAAATTTGAATTAATTTGTTACTATCAGAAGAAGTTAAATCTTTAGGCGGAACCATATTTTTAGGTTCAATTCGTGTAAAAGATTTTTTATGAAAGGTATCAAGGTCTAAAATTTGAGAGGGATCAACTTTTAAACCTTTGATTTTGCACTCATCATATGTTTTTACGGGTTTATTAATTATAGATGAAATCGCTGAGGCAACAAGTGGTAATTGAGACATTTTCAATTTTTTCTAGTTAATTTACTAAATTTTATTAGTTTATTTTCGAAATTTATTTTACGAAAACGAAAATATTTTACATTTATTTATATCTTTTAAACAATGGTTTATACCTTAACCAAATGTGAAGTTGCTCCGACGGTCTGACCGTTTTTATCGGACTATATTTTTTCCGATAGAATGATCTTCATCAACGTGACAAAATGCGTTAGTTAATTTGAAATTGAAATAATTTTAAATACTAAATAAGTATTAACCTTATAATTTTAGACAATATAATTTAAATATCAAAACAATATTGTATTTGATATACTGTTACGATATCAAAATGATTTTCAAAATCATACCAAAATGATATCTTGTTATTGTTAACGATATCATTAAGATAATATTTATTATATAAAATATCGAATGATATCAAAAAATCATTTGATAACATTTTGTTATCAAAATGAGATGTTTGAATTTTTTGAGATTTCTGTAAAAGGTTTACGTTATCATATTTCATGATTACACCTTTTAGTTTTTATAATTTTGAGTAAAATAATTTTGAATTTTGAATTTTCAAACATTCTTTCCAAACCATTTTTTTTTTTAAAGAATAAGAAATTTAAATTTAAGTAATAGTTATTTCACGGGGAGTCATGATTTTCACGGCGCAGCCACGAAAATCATGATATTTATGCGACACGTGAAATAACTCTTTTATCTCATGGAGACTAACGTAAGAGTGGGAAAGGTATAAATAAACTATAACAACATGTGAGCATGAAAAATCAGAAAAATTACAGGCATAAATATATCATCAAAAAAATCACTGGCGACCAATTAGTAAACATGAGATAAATAAAATTAATTGATGATGATGATACTTTAAATAATTTATCTCAATTATCTCAATTATCTCAATTATATATATCACTTGAATTTATTTATAAATTTTCTAATTGTAAAATATTTAAGCTTTGTACATTTAAAATAAATAATTTGTATAATTCTTTTTTCCTCATCATCATGAGCGAGCTCTAAATTAAACGGGTAGTCATTATTGCACAATTTATAAGGAAAATTTTTAAAAATGGAGAAATTCCACATTTACTAATAAATGATAAGATGGCGTCATTTAATACACTAATACTACACTAGCATTAACTAAAATTGTGTTAAAAATGTTAGATAATTATAACAATGAAGTAACAAATTAATAAAAATGATATTTTTAAATTTATTGGTAATTTTATTTTTAGCAAAATGCACCAATTTATCATTTAAATAACTATTTTTTGATAATCTTTCTTGAAATATTATGTAATTGTTTTGCCCATTCCATCATTACCGATTTTATGTCCATTGAAACCTACAAAAGAAAGCAAAAAGAAACGTTAGTACGTTTCTTAACAATATGCGTACCCTAGAAAGCCAGAGTCATTAAAGACATAAAGAAAATTTTGAAAGTTTTATTACATCTGAAACTCGTCCACGAAGCCCTGTTGACCGGTATTTTTATAAAAAAAATAGACATTAACAAAAATATTTCTTTAATTTAACCAAATAAAGTCTGGTGAACTTACGATTTCGTTCATTCTCTACAATCTTTTTATCCTCTTTTCTAAAGTGTTATGTTGGGAATGATAATCTTCCAATTATTTCTTTAGTACCCAATTTTCACCGGAAAGCGCACTATACACTTCTGCATTTTGCTCGTTTAGTCCGAATATCCGGGCTAATTTCTCTGTGTATCTGATAACTTCCTGCTCGCTGGATGCATCAGATGAATGATTTTGATCAGTTCATCCAAGAATTCGAACCTAAAAAAAAAAAATAAATGGAACATTAATAAATGTTCGTCAGAACTTAGAAAAATAAACAAAATATTTCAAAATAAATACTTTTGAAATATTTTTAATATTGTTCAAGAAAGCAAGGTCCTACAAAATAAAAAGAAATGTCAGTGACATTTCATTATATAAAAAATTTGGAAGACAAAGAAATTCTAATCCTAACACTAATTCTAATCCCCTAACCATAATTTCCTAACCCTAATTCTAATCTCCAATTCTAAATTCCTAAATTCCTAACCCTAAAAAAATGTATGTTACCTAAGTCTGTAATCAAAGTTTAACTAAACCCGGCTTAGTATAAGTCGTGAGGGAATAGAGAAATCCTGTTTCAAGCAGATAATTTCCTAAATCCTCAACTAAAGCAATACCTCAAGATGTCGCTATAGAAACCTAAAAAATGCAAAGAAAAGAAACGTTAAACATTTCATTAAAGAAAATTAAAAAATATATACATGTATCAAAAATTAGTTACTTACATCCGAAATATTAAAGACTTGAGACCCAAGAGCATAGAGAAAAAAATAAACAATAGTACTAGATGAAATCCAAGTGGTATATAGTACTAGATGAATATTGTTTGATCAGCAAATGAATATTCCCATCATTTTTCTAGTTTTTATTCCGAAGAAACTCAGACACGTGATAATTTTTCTGAAAAATTTTTTATAGGGTACCCATCAGAAAAAGTGAAACCATTTCTAACTATATCAGGAATTTCTTTAATGTCATTAATAAGTAGCTATTTCTAACTATATCAGGAATTTCTTTAATTTCAACAATAGGTAGAATAGCGTCAGCGTGTAAAAAATCTCTAAGAAAATACCGGAAAAATCCGGAATAAATTGAAAATTCCGGATTTGCTTAAAAAAAAAAAGTATATTCACTGAATATATTCCGGTACTAATAAAATTTCCCAGAAATCTAATATACCATATTCAAAAAAATTTCTGGAATCTAAAATCTTTCTGGTTTTACAAGGAATCTTTCGGAAAATCCGGCAAATTTAGAATAGATTTTGTACGCTGGCACGAGTACTTTCCATTCGGGCAGCATATTTTGCTACACTTTTATTTGTTGAAAAATTTCCCATCCACGGATTAGGGATTAAGGATTAAGGATTAGGGATTAGGGATTAGGGATTAGGGATTAAGAATAATTATGAAACTTTGTTTTTCATATTAATAAAATTGTTAACAGGAATAAACAGTAATAAACGTCCCAGTCGTCCCATCAATAAAAAATGGTCGATTATACTGAAATCCCATTCGTCCAGATCTGCCTACAAAAGAAAGAAAAATGAAACATTAATAAACGTTTATTTAAAATAAATGAATTGAAAAACAAAAAACAAAAACAGTCGATTTTATACCTAAATCCCACTCGTCTAGACCGTCTAAAAAAAAACATCTTTTTTTTTTTTGATTCAATATTCAAATACTTTGTTTATTTGAATTGTTTTGATTATGGATAAAAGAACATAAAAATAAGGTGTATTATGAGCAATAATAAATAATATGTGATTTTATAACTATTATAATTTTGAGAAATAATTCTAACGTGTAAAAAAAATTTTGAGATTTAAAATATTTCGAGATGAAAATAAATGGTGGAGATTGGTTGAAGAATATTATGATATTAAGAGATTGGGTTAAGGTTAAAGTGAAAAGTAATAGGAATTAAGGAATAAATCAAGGAAGAATTATGAGAATGAACTTTTATATGAATTTAATTTATTGATTCTTTTTGAGTTCTTTTGTTTTTTTTTTGTAAAAAAAAATATTTTTGCCATTTCTCTAGGAATTTTCAGAGTATTTTTATAAGAAAATATTTAACAATCATGCAGTTCTATTTGGGCGTAAAACAAAGGGAATGTTTCAATATTACGTCCAAATAAAAAAAAATTAAAAGACGAATTAAAATAATGAATCGCTTTACCTTCCCAATGAAATTGATTATGATGATGTAAAATAAGTTAGATAGTAAAAAATTGAGCGATACACACTGTAATATTGGAAGCAAATTTTTAATAACAGAATAAATGATTTTTTATTATTCGGAAGTCTACATTTTCAAAAGGAAACAAATCAAAATATTAATATACGTTTTCGTTACAGTAAATTAAAAAAAAAAGTAAAAAACCCACCAACCGAATCAAGAAACATTGACAATTAGAGCTCTTGCTTTAATTTGGTCGAATTCTTTTCTTCCTTACTAATTTACTTTTTCGAGAAGGATTTGTATTTTTTCCAATCAGCTGCTGAACGTTTTTCCTTCGGGTTGATTATAAACCACTCCATTCAAGTTTTTCTTACTCCAATTAGAAACTGGATAACGAGAGGGAGAGTATTCAAGCCGCTATTGGATACTTTCCAGACACTTCAAACACTCCGTAAATCTTTCCGCTCGGTCATTTTACTGATAAAATGAGCCGCAGAATTTTAAGTTCTTAAACCTCCTTTTCTTCGTTTAAAAGATTAAAAAAATCAACCAAAAAGGAGCCGAATAGCCGCCTAAAAAAAGAATAAAAAACAAAATCATTAGTTAATATTTTTGTTAAAATAAAAATATTTAAAGGAAATAAAAAACACACACCACGACCCACACGTCCAAAGATCCTGAAGAATAAGTCGCTTAAAAAAAAATGAAACGTTGGTAAACGTTTCATCAAAGAATAGTTAAAAATGATAACCTCTCCTACCAAAACATCCCACGTTTCCAAATATTACAAAGAACTGGCCGTCTACAAAAGAAAAAAAAAGATAAATTATTAGACAAATTCGTTAAAAAAAAAATTTTCACTTACCGAGATCCAAGTCCAAACTCCAAAGAGACCGGAAGAAGCGCATAAGAAAGAAAAGAAATAAACTGTTAATAAAAGTTCGAGACACTACTAACAGTTCGGTTTCCTTCATTTTTTTAATCGGTTCTTTTGGAGTTCGGACTTGGGATTTCAGTAAGTGAAATTTGTTTTAAAGTTTGTTATAATAATAAAAAAACTATAATTATATTAATTTTACCAAATAATTACCGTCTAAAAAAAGAAAAAATAAAAACAAAACGTTACACCCAACGTTTTGTTTGAAGACATTTCGACTTTTGAAATGTCAAGTTTAAAAAAAAAGCATGAGCTGATCAACGTTTACCCTTTTTTTATCGATGTTTTCAGAATTGTGTTACCCAGGATCGTCCCATCTTTCATGTAATCAGTAATAGAATGTTTCGTATCAATAAATAAACTTGACAATAATACATTTATACTATTCATGAAAACTATTCAAGATGACATTTTTCTTTCAGACTTGAAATATTTTAATATTGTATATTCATCGCTAAAATAATTTGGTCATTAGGTTCGTTTCATGTGTGTTGATTATTTTTATTGATGATAAATTTCATTATTTGTGCATAATTTATTACATGCTTTAAGTCCATTGATCCCATTGATCCTGAACTCCCGGTAAGAAGCAATGGATAACTGCTATATAAAACTAAAAGTAGTCATAATATTAATTCCAGAGCCTTTGCCATGAATGAATAATTAATTTTTTTTTTTACTTTTATACTTTTATTTTTGCCGTTACAGTTTATTATATTTCAAATAAAAAAAATGGCTTAGGCGCTTAGCTAAACTAAACTAAATTGTAGAGCTGCGACCCGTCAAAATTTCTGGTTCCGGATCATACCCAATTCAAAAAAAAGTATTACCCGACTCCATAGCGGGTATTACCCGTTTGTACCCGTTTACCTTTTTATCAGATATGACTCGAGTAATATCCGGGTATTACCGGATAATATCAATTCTTTTTCTCAATAAATATATAAATTAAGATATTTATTTAATTTAAAAAACATTGATATTGTTTAAACTTTGAAAAATAAAAATTATCAAACAAGCGTTGTTAAAGGTGCCGGCATTAAAGTTCTGGCTTGAGACATCTTAACTTGGCAAAATTAATTTTCGGTTGGAGTAATTACCCCGGGTAATATTCGGGTATATGTGGATATTCATAAATACTCGAGTATACCCGGATTGTATCCGGGTAAACGGGTAACGGGTCGCAGCTCTACCAAATTGAGCAGATCAGAGCCCTAATAAGTCAAAGCTAGCCGTGCAAATTACCAAAGTAGAATTAAAGGAAAAGTTAAAAGAAGAAATTGAATTGGAAATCTGAGCCAAGATGGAAAAATGAAATAAACCGTGAAACATAAAGTCATTCATCTTTCAATAAAGTGGCATGGATAGTGATGAAATTGCTTATTCATGAAAGCCAATATCAAATTGTCTTATAATAAAATTTATTTCGCAAAAAAATCTTCGTTAACAGCTTACGAATATGAGATTTTTAGATGTTAAAATCTGTACTACGCTGTGAACTTTATATTTTTACTTATAAGTCAAGAAAATATCAATACAATAGAAGCAAGACTACAAATAAATAATAATTATAAATATCTAAGCACTACAATAGATTATAATAACACATGTATAAACACACGCAAATAATAAGAGAAACTCTTGAAGATTTACTGCTAAATGTCCACTATCATTATTTTAAAGCAACTTTCATAGGTACAGAATCTTCTTTTTTCCAATTTCCATCATCATCTACATAATATTTAGATACACCATCTATCCATGTTGCAGAGTATATTTTGGCGAATTCACCTTCACCAATTTCTTTTATGTCTGTAAATCTATTGAATGGTACCCGTTCAAATAATCCATTATAATACACATTTCTTACATTATATATTATATTTTTTATAAACTTATCAACATTTGGATTTCCACTGGTCCATCCTTCTATCAATTTAAATGGGTCACATTCTTTACACCATAATTCTTCAGAAAAGGGTTTATCACAATACGAACAATATTTATCTTTTACTAGATTAATAAATTCAGCTTCAGTAGGATTATTTTCATAGTCATCTACGCCCATTTTAATTATATTATAAAAAGAAAAAAAGAAAAGAATCCGTGAGAAAGTAAGGGTTTCCATTTTTCTTTCAAAAATTGAAGTTTCGTACAAAACATTTGTTTAGTAAACAACGCCGTAGCTTATGTGTGACAGGAGTGACATTTATACTATGACAGTTAATTGATCGACAGATTTTACTCATTATGTGTTTAACGGCGATTTGTTTCTAGAATAATTAACAATAATAAAAAGTGAAAGGATGTTATACAAAGTGATAATATCTTTCGGTGTTAATATCTGAAAGTATTAAAATTTGGTGATTAAAATATATACACTTATTGAACGATGTATGTATTAGAAAAAACTGTTTAAATAAATTCTGTTAATCATATTTAATAAAGAGCATGTTGATATATATTTTGTTTTAGCCGTAAAACATGAAATATTTGATAACCTGTAGTTTTTCAGATCCAGTATAACCTTTTAATTTTTTAAAGGTATTTCTGAATTTCGTATATATTGAATTCAAGGTTTTGTTTGGAAGTTATTTTTCAAAGTGAAACGATAAAATTTTGGGTTTATCACATTATAAAGAGAAGGAACATTTATGGACATTACCTTATTAATCATTTCATATTCTTCTATATGCATTTGTTCGATAGCGTTGGTAATATGTTGGCTGACATTTGTGTTGATCCTTTAGAAACCATTTTTTAACTATTTTCTTTGCCTAGAATCAATAATTTGATAATCATGTGATTAGCTTTATTTAATTTTAATCACTTGAAAGTATATATGAATATACAATAATTATATATTAAACTTATCTTGCAACTAAGAATTGGATAATAGGCAAAATTTGCGAAAGTATGAAATTAATTGACCTCACTATGTTTTACTATTTGTAAAATATTATATTTGAAATTTTCATAATGCTGCTCTATTCGTCAAATATCTACAGATTTCTTAAAAATTTTATGCCGATTTCTAACATAATTTACACTTGAACAGTTGAACTACCGATAAAAGAAATTATATTGATTATACTATTTGATAAAATAATTTTACCAATTTACAATATATCAACCGAGAGTTCGCTTAAAAGAAAATTTTATTATTATATAGTATATTATAAACCAAAACTTCGAATTGATAGTATAATATAAATTACGTCTAGTTAATTAGGAATTTCAAAATTTTATTTATTATTTCAATGGAATAATCTTTGAAAAATATATATAAATTTTATAAACAAGCTTCTGAGAATATCACTTTACACTGTATAACTTCTTTTGAGAATATTTAAATCAGACATTACTATGTCATGTATTAAATTATTTTATAAAAGATGATAAATTTGTTTTTTGTTTGATATAGGCAGCTATTTTTACTTTATCACATGATTTACGAATAGTTTTTTTAATATAATTAATGTTACCAATCTACTAATAAGGATTGGATTGCAAATAAAGTCGTTGCCAAACATATCATAGCGAATTGAAGTAGAGTTCCAATCCGAGGATCGACGAATGGGATATTTTGGCAATTTGCATGTGGATTTAATCAATAAAGGTAAGGATTTTTTTTTGGATACACTAAGTCCATATCTCAATACACAATGTAGTAAATTTATAGAGTTTTGTTAATAATAATAAAAAAAAAGAGAAATTCTATTCGGATTGAATTTTTCATCCGATCGGATGGATTTTCGATCCGAGTTGAATTTCTTGTCCATTTTATAATTGAACCGGATTTTAATTTTACTATATTGCGCATTAGAGTAGAATCCGAAGATATCTCAAAAAAAAATCTTGACTTATGTATAATCGTCCATCCGTCGATCCTCGGATTGGTGCTTTTAATCTCATGATCGACACGTACAATATCAGCCTAATGTCTCACAAACATATGTAATAGGCTTAATTTAGACTAAATTTCATAGTCCAACGCCCCAGCCGACGATCAAGTGTCTCACGCCATTTTTTATAAATAGAATGGATATGTTAAATTGTACAAAAATTTAACTTCCACGATTTCGTATTTACATTTACAATGTCTTATAACACCGAATTTAAAGTTATTGGTAATTCAAATGAATGGATTTATTGGATTGAAGAATCTATTGCGAAAAATCAAATTAGATATTACGATTACAAACATTTTAACAATATTCAAGAAATTGGTACTGGAAGGTTTGGAAAGGTCTATCGTGCAAACTGGAAAAGTTCTCATAATTTTTTGGCATTAAAATCTTTCTTTAATTTCAACGGCATGGCTAAAGAAATTGTCAACGAAGTAATTATAATAAATAAATGAATGATGTTTTCATTACTATTTTAACATTACGTTCCTAGTAGTAATATACCATTCTATTTATGTTTTAGATTAAACTTCAGCATGAAATGGATTTTCATGAAAATATTATTCGCTTTTATGGTATTACAACAACAGGTAAAATAATTATTTTAAACATTATTTATATAAAATTAATCAAAAATAATTTTTTTTTTTTTTTCAAAAGAAAATCAAAGCGATAATTCGAAAAAATATTTGCTAGTGTTGGAATATGCTGATAGTGGCACTCTTCGAAGCTATTTAAACGAACGCTTTGAAGAACTCTCTTGGAATGATAAATTAGATTTGGCATTTCAATTAACTAACGCTATATCATACTTACACGATCAAGAAATCGTTCATCGTGATTTGGTAGGTTATTTATCTATTATCATTTTATTAAATTATACGTACTTAACATAATCATTGTTTTATAATAACAGAATTCCAACGATATTTTAGTTCATAAAAATACTATTAAATTATCTGATTTTGGTTTGTCAAAAAGGATTAAAGAATCTTACGATAATCAATCAAAATTATTTGAAATGGTTGCTTATGTTGATCCACAAATATTTAATAAAAAAAGTGATAGCAACAATCAATATCAATATTCATTAAATAAAAAGAGTGACATTTATAGTATTGGCATACTCTTATGGGAAATTTCTAGCGGACGGCCACCTTTCTGTAATGAATCTTATGATGTTGATTTGGCTATGAAAATTTTACAAGGTCTTAGAGAGACGCCTATTCCTAACACGCCTGATGATTATGTAATGACTTATACTGGTAAATACAATCAAATTTTAATTATAATTTCGTAATGATAATTGGTTTAATTGGTATATTTAATTGATTTTTTATTTAGATTGTTGGAATGACAAACCAGAAAATCGTCCAACTATCAATCAGGTTGTTACTAAATTAAATACAGTTATTATTATGAAATTATCAAGTGAACAGCAGCTTAAATCAAATGATAATTTATTACATGGGGAAACGTCTCAAATTCTTCAAAATTTTAATAAGATAAATACCAACGAAATAGAACCTTCAATTTCATCAAATATGAATAACTTTGGTTCATCTGTTAATGAAATTATTCATTGTCTTGAAAAAGTAGAAATCGGAAAGAAAAAAATTGAAGCTTATTATTATTTTAATTCTCATAATATAACTTCACAAGAAATTTATTATTGGCTATTAGATAATCAGAATGATGTAAATTCTATTTTTTTACTTGGATTGTTTAATCAATATGGAATTGAAATTGGTATTGATAAAGAAAAAGCATTTGAATTATATCAAATTGCAGCAAATTTAGGAAATGAATTTGGAGTAACTAGTTTAGGAAATTGTTATTTATATGGAATTGGAACTATTGTTAATAAAAATAAGGCATTTGAATTATATCAAGAGGCTGCAAAATTAGGAAATCCACGTGGAATAAGTAATTTAGGATATTGTTATTTTTATGGAGTTGGAACTTTAGTTAATCTTAAAAAATCAGTCGAATTATTTCAAGAAGCAGCAAATTTAGGAAATACGAATGGAATATGTAATTTAGGGCATTGTTATTTAAGGGGAATTGGAACTGTTTCTGATCATAAAAAGGCATTTGCATTGTTCCAAAAAGCAGCAAATTTAGGAAACGAATTGGCCCAATATTATCTTGCTCTTATGTATGAAATTGGACATGAAGTTGAAAAGGATATAAATCAAGCGATTTATTGGTATAAAAAAGCTGCTGAACAAGGACATAAACACGCTCAGATTAAATTGATTGAATTAAGTTTATTATATATTCAAAAGAAGAGTATTAAACAAATGGTAAAACAGATATATTTTGTATAGGATATATAGAATAAATATTTCCATAAAAAATACTGAATTTTATAACAAAGTTTTTGAATTTTTGAATTATATTAATTGTGAGATAAATTTTTCAAGATTATTTTATTTTAAGAATAAATAAATAAATAAATGTATTAATTAATTCTAATGATTTTTTTTAATGTAAAATAGTTTATTGTGAATTTACAAAAAGACATGCATTTGCACAGAGGGAATTTTTTTGCTTCGCATGGAGAATTTTTTTTAATCCAGTATAACGTGATTTTTTATAATTAAAAATGATTATTGTGTGTATGAATCAATGATCTCGCCCGGGATCAACCAATCAAATTGGATTTACCAATATAACAGTTATTCGGCACTTCGTGCTGAAAAACTATTATGTGTTTATTTCTTTTATATTTAATTTTAGAAAATTTCTAAGTTTACACGGGGTGTTTGTACACAGGTCATATAAATATAATTTTTAATAGACTAATTTTTTGTTTTTTAATTTGAAATTGAATGCTACCAACATTATACTCTTTTACTTTTTATTCTTATTATATTACAAATAAATATATATATTTTCACCTGCTCTGCAAGTTTACTTAAGACATTAAAGAAGGTTTTGAATGCCGTTTTTAATCTACTAATATGACCCGTGTTTAAACACCCCGTGTACAAATAGAAATTGCCTTAATTTTATTATAATATTAAAAATTATTATTTATTGTTTATGACTGAAACGCAACACTGATGAAAAAAAAAATATTAATCAAATGTTATCTCTCATGATTTTGATCAATAGTACATTTTTAAGTGAACTAGGTAGAAAGCTTTAATCAAAAGGACTAGAACATCGTCAATAATTTCATTTGACTACCAAGATCGTGAGCTCAGATGGGAAATCTTATTTCCGTTTGAAATTAGGAGATTCGAATCTCAAAATACTTATTTGAATATCTCATAAGATTTGAATTTCTCATGAGATTCGAACATTCGAATGTCCATGATAAAATTTGCTGATCGTCTTTGACAAGATAATTAATGAGGTTCAAATTATATTCGAATTTACATATCAAATACAATTTATATAAATATAATTATGCAACCTAAGCTGATTAGTTGAGTCACTTTTTTATTATAACGTAACATCTGTCATATTTGTTTATTTAAAAGACTATATTTAATATACAGTATAACTTACATTATTTTCAGCCCAGTAAATCATTAAAAAAGAGTAACTCATTATAAAAAGAGTGGAAATTTTCTTGTAGGATAAAATAATCGAAGAGATCGTAAAATTCTTTTTTCCATATATATATATATATTATAATTTTCTTTGATTTCTACAACCCAATCCCTCAAAATTCATTAACTCTCTTCAAAGGTTTAAATATTTTCAATATTCATATTCGCTTCTTACTTTTATTCCTAAAAAATGTATTATGTGATCATCCTAGGATCCATTATATTGGTATCGACTTTATAAAATAAAGTGTATTCGCGAACCAAAATTGGCAAGAATAATTCTAATGATTATTTTTTTAAGTTTTTTTTACAGTATTTTATTTTATTTTCTTGGAATTTGCCACCTCTTGTTCGCTATAAAATTCCAATTATCGGTCATACGTATAGTTATTTGTTTAATTTCGAAGCATTCTTTAAACAATGTAAAATCAGCGGTCAACATTAATAATAAATTTGATAATTTATGATAAAAAAAAAAAATATTATCTTGATTAACCATAGTTTGTCACGTGAATCACATTATAAAAGATTAATAGATATAGTATAATTTAGAAATTTTGTTTTGTGTTTATGTTTATGTTTATTTTTGTTTTATATTAGATACCTTTATTGATCTGATGCTATCGTGTCAAAATTGTAATTGATTTAATACGTCGAATACTAATAAAAAAAAAAAAAAAATTTTTTTTTCTACTTTTTCAACTTTGTCACACGATTTCAGAATATGCTAGTTACAATTTATAGTCCTAATGATGTACCAGGACAATTTATGATACACCTGAAGATAAACAAATAAATTAAATAAAAATATTGAATTATAATGAAAAATATGATTATGATGACGATGATGACTTTCATCGGGAAAGTTTTTATGGCGGCAGTCCAGTCTACAGACTGCGGCTTTTTATAAAAAATCTACGCAGTTTTGCAAATTAAAATTGCAGATTTTTTTGGAGATTTTTAAAGTTAAAGTTAACTCCCACCATTCTATGATAAACTTTACATAAAATAAACTTTACATAAACTTCACTTTCTTACAATAAAAAATCTTTTGCCATCAAATACAATAAAAAAATTCTTTATTTCTTTTTCATCACAATAAAAATCTTTGCATCAAAAAAATTTTTTTTTAAGTTTTGAAGTCTTGCGAGTGAAATTGGCAAGTTCATCTGGCTTCAAAAACATTTTACCGTGAGATCGAAACTAATTAAACTAATTTTTTTTTAAAAAAAAAGAAATTTATTTAAAAATAATATTTCTTTTCTTTTTTCAGAGTTTGAAGTTTCGAAGTTCATTCACCTGAGATCTTCGAATTAATCTTAAAGTAAAAAGGTTTCTTTTTTTTTCTTTTTGTATGACCCTGCTAGCTTCCATTTCGGAAGTAAATAAACACCTTCAATTTTTGTTTATTCTTTTTAACGAAACATTTTTAATGTTTCTTTTTTATTTTTGTAGCTTCAGGCATGGGTTATGCGGCAATTCAAAGTTAAATACCTTTGAAACTTTTTTTTTATTCTTTTTTACGAAATGTTTCTAACGTTTCATTTTATTATTTTAAAAGAACTTGGGGCTACCTTTCAAATTTTATTTTTTTTATTTTTTTTTGAATGAAATGTTAGTTACTAATGTCTTGTCCTTTTTTGTAGGTAATCGAAGTTCTTTGGACTGATGTCAAGTAAATACTTTCGAACTGTTTTTTTTTTTCTTCAATTTAACGAAACTTTTCTAACATTTTCGTTTTTATTCATTTCTAGGTCTTGGGCAGGCTTTTCTTATGAAATTTCGAAGGTATTTTACCTTCAAAAACAATTTTCCTTTTGCCTTTTTTAGTGAAATGATACTAATGTTTCATTTTTTTCTTTATGTAGACCCCTCAGGCTTTCATTTCGAAGGTAAATATAAAATATTTTTTTAATTAAACAATTCATGATTTTACCGATCAGTGGAGCAAAATTTTGCTGATCACTAATTAAATTTGGAAAATTATGGAAATTAGCCATTAGAAACAAAGAAATGCCAAGTAATTTGCTGTGGAGACGATGCCCAGCCTAAATGCCCCATGACTAGCTAAAAGAGCGAGCTGATTACTATGAGGAAGTTTTGACTGACTATCGGTCCAAATGCCCTAGATTACAAGAGCTTAAAAAAATGCAACGGCAAAATAATAGAGTGCAGTCAGACCTATTCCGTGAAGCACTTCCGGTCACAGAAAAATGGGAATATCTTGAAGCTGAATGGAAGCCATCAGATCGTATTTTATCAGCACATCTACTTTCCCGAAGAATTGCTTCCCAAAGATGCTTAAAACTTCATTGAGAAAAATATCCCAATGTACCGATCCCATTAATCTATAGGCCAAAAGATGGATGCAAACAAAATTGTCTTGTTCCGATCCCTGGCTCATCCAAAAAAAGGAATTAGTGAAAAATGATAAAATACACTTGCCCTTAAATACTATCCCTGACAAATTCTTAAAAGATATGTTAGCGGATAAAAAAGTCATAGATTGGGAACTTGGATATGCTATGACTATTCGCACTAGTCAAGGAATGACCCTTAAAGCTCCACAGAGTGTTTGGGTCATTGATGAAAACCTAGCTTGGGATAACCTAATATATTTAGCAGTTGGTCGTGTGGAATATTTAAGCCAACTCATTCGGGTTGAGGCGCCTCCATTACCTCCTGAAATTGCCAAGAGATTGAGGAGGCAAAAAAGAATAGACGGCTAGAGCACGAATTGAGACCATCTATTCAGGAAAAACTTATTGGATATATGAGCCAGGATAAGGAAAAAGGCCATGAATTTAATCTAACAGTTGACTATATCCTTATATTAAAACATATTCAAGAAGACAAATGCGCATTATGTCTCATTGAAATGAAATTCGAATAGGATCGGCCAGGAGATATATCCCAGTGGACAGTAGATCGAATTCACAATAGTTTGAGACATATCAAAGGGTCACCTGTCTTCTATGCAACCGAAATCACAGAGTCTAGTTCATGCCGGTGATCCAGACTAGTGAATGGCGCATATATACAATCAGGAAGAGAAGTTATAGTGTCAACATAAATATTAGATTTTTTTTTTTTATCCGATGAAGTAAATATCCAGTTAAGAAAATACAACAAAAATGGCATATTGTTAAATCAAGGGAGTCTAATAAACCGAAAAACTCTGGCTAGCCTACGAAATTCATCTCTTTCGGCTTGGCGCTCAGTATAGTCATAGGACCGGCAAACCCTGGCCAATCTAAGAAATTCACCCTTTATATCATATTGGGATAAGATATCCTGATAGTACCCGTTTAGTTCATGGTCATGTTTTAAATAATATTGTGTACGACGACTTGTAAAATAACATATAAGTCGTTTTTTATTATGAAGTAGTTGTCTTCTACCATAGCGAGAAGAATTTAAGAAACCTTTATGATTATATAGCATAGAAAGAGAAATAGTCTTTGCATATAAATGATTAAGAATATTTCTCCATATCTCACTCACGTTGCAATAGTTAACAATTTCAGTAATATTGAGATGATTATCATATAGGTGAAAAATAATATTATCACGAATGCTGGGAATATTAATAAACTCAGCTTTTCTTTTTTTCCGAATAATATGCTTAGATGCAGCATTCCATTGGTGATTTACTCTGGCGCAACTCCTATAAAGATCTTTTCTACTAAGAAAGGCAAAAATAATTTTAAGTAGCTCGGGTATTTCTAGGGTATGATACATATTTTTTTTCTTGCAGATAATCATCGACAATTGAATTGGACAAACTATCAGGTAATGGCTAAAAAATCGAGGAATAATCGGCGCAAGACCGCAGGTAAGTTTACTACCAATCCCACGCAGTACTTACCATTATGCAATCCAGCCAAATATGATCACACATATGATAGGGCAACTGGGATAGTAGGCGTGTTCGATTATCCCGAACTGTGTGATTATCTTGGAGTCCGATCCGGTGATAATTAACAGTTATTTTTTTTTCTTAATACAGACAATAATTAGACTAATTTCCGCAGATAAGGAATGGAAAACGATAAAAAAATATTCATCCCTTATTTTCCCTGATTTGGGGAAGTCAATCAAAGAATTTGAGAAAAGTCTGGCGGGGTTAGAAGCCAGTGTAAAGTTGATATAAAAAACCGTTACCGAATGATATTTCCGATTCTGATTTCTCAAACAGTCCGATTAATGCTAGTCCGGAGCGATGATCACTAGTTCGGAAGAATTACTGAGCCACAAATTGTGCGACAAATAAAATAATCAAAATGCAGGTCTGTGCGACAGGGAAATTTCAAGCGAAAAAAAATATAACTTCCTATTATTTTTTTTTTCCCAAACAAATGTGGCCGGAGGAGGAAAAAAAAATGTCTAGTTACGGTATAGGACTTACCCTAAAAGCAAATAGTGCCGACAAAAGCATATGTTATGAAAGGCTGGTGGACTCGCAATTCCGAGATCGCCAGCGTAAAGCCAAGTTTGTGTCTTGCAAGTAGATCTGATCCCGAAGGGATCTCTTCATGTGAAAAGGTTTGAAGATTCCATTTGCATGTGTTTTCATAGAACTCTTGGCATCATACAACAATACTAATTACGCCTCATACCTTTTTATCTTTTTCCCAGCAAGATATAAAGCATGTAGGAGTATGTGGAAGTTCGGCCAACTTTCCCGCGAAAAATTAAGGTATGTATTAAATATAACTGTTATTTATAACAGAATGTTTCGAAACATCTTTACATATGTAAAGTCAAAATTTTATTCACTATGGACCTTCACGTTTAGGAAAAGAAAAATGCCAGAAATCAGACTTAACTGTCTTGTTGTTCCTAGTAACTATCCAGTCGAGAGAATCACACGACATCATGTCATTACAATCAAAATAGACAATGGCGAATCTATCCATTCGCTCAGAAAACAAATTAAAGAAGAATATTCACCTCGGTTTGATGATATTCCAATTAATGAATTCATGGTCCGTGCGATCGATTTAAATTTGGATAAAAAAGAAGCAACATTTAATGCTGAATCAGTAATGAATAGTGTACAAAATAAGACTAAGATAGGAAGTGAGAAATTCCCAATGTCTGATATTATTGAACATTTTCCTGGTCAGCCTTCCCAAAAAGATATTCACATTTTAGTATATTTAGATATTCAAGCATCTCAGTAAAAAATATGATGCGATATAGTCGTGTATAGCGCCTTCGGCAAATTTTTATGTAATGTAAGCCGGTTCCGGCAACGATTTATTTCATAAATAAAGTAATATTATTATTTTATCGAATGTACATGAAAGCGGGTCACGTGAAATGATGCAATATCTGTGTGCCATAAAAACCTATATTAACACCCAGTAATTTCTTTCCCGAACAGAAATAAATTTTTATCTCACTCCGGAACGTAACACTATTTTTTTGTCCAAGCCAAACTAGCCTATATAAAAACGTAACACTATGGCTGAAACTAGTACACCTTATACTCTAGCTTCCACCTCTACTACAGTTGCTGGAAATGAGCTGGCGGAAGAAATTAAAAAATATAAAATAGAGGCACTTATCGAATATTTACAGAAGGAAGAGGACTTGGGCCTTGATGACGATGATTTGGAGATATTTCGCAAGCAAAAAATAATGGGTCGTGACTTCCTTAAGACAAGCAAGGAAGAGTTTTAGCGTTATGGAATGTTAGGTGGTCCTGCAAAAAGGCTTGCTGAGTTCGCATAAGGAGAAAAGGAAGCGTGCGTTTTCCTCATACCGAAGTTTGGAGGAAGTGTTAGAAAAATACGGAATTAAAAGTAGTAGTATAACGAGCATCCCCCAGTTCACACCAGGTAAATTATGCTCATGCCAACCTTTTTCATTACGAATACCAACTCACGTATTCTCCATTTATAGTACCTCACTCAATCGATGAAAAATCTCCAGAGTTTAAGCTCTGCATTGATGACATTTTTCGTAGGATAAAAAATATGGGGCCAGTCGTAGATAGTAATGAGGCTATGCGTTGCGAATACATTTCTACAATCCTTCATACTGCTGTCAGCATCCTAGGAGGATTGGTAATCTTGCCTCAGATGAATGTATCTGGTGAAGAAAGTTCCGGCCGTGTAGATTATGCGATCAAGAAAATACTGGATGATTTGCTCGAAGAAATAATATGCATAACCGAAGGAAAGCGAAACCAGCCGGGAAAGGTGTGGCACAAAATCCAATGCAATGTCAAAGTTCGTGCGAAGTAAGTAATACCTTTTTTTTATGTCTAGCCTCCATTCGACTATCCTTCTATCAGAATATACTAACCAATCGTCATCTGTAATCATAGTTGAATTTAGATACGCTCAAGAAAAGCGTACGGCTGATGAAGCATTCGAGGAGTATGAATATCATCACAACAGGTGAGAAGATGCTCTAGCGAATCTGTTTTTTTCTTTCTTCCTCCGCTCTTTTGCATCACTAACTTGTTTTAAAATTTCTTAGCCACGGACTGGTATTTCATTCTACATAGCACCGAGGCTATCTATTGTACGAGCAAGACTGAGTATCGCATCTCTCTGACTGAAGACACACTCAAGGACTCTACCGACTTGCGCAAGAATGTGAAGAGGATTTTAGAGGTTATAGTGGGCTTGTTAAAAGATAGGGTATCAGCTAGTGAAGAACCCGCAAATAAGAAGCGCCGTGTGGAAGAGATAATCAAGAAAAATAATTGTATAGGACACTAGCATAGATGTCATGTATCGCGGGCTACGTCCCGATCTTTGTATTTATTTTTTGCATGTATTAATAAAAAAATTTTTCTTGGCAAACACGTGATTTTTATGTATACATAATTCTCTCGGCTTATTCTTTTTTTTGCCATATGTCATGTGCAGTACGTAATAGTACGTCATTACTACACTTCTCCGCAGTAACTACATATACTGTTATGAGTGTCATATGATACTGTTCCCGCATCCCTTTTTTGTGTGCCAGGTTCGTGACGCAGCCAGCAGATTGTGATGCAACGAAAATCTTAAAGAGAAAATTTTTTTTAATAACATATAACTTCAAAAATTACTAGCTAGTTGTAATTTTGGCTGCTCTTCAAGTTTACTTAGAGCGACAAAGGCGATTTTAAATATCATTATTGACTTATTTAACAAAAATTTTTCTTTCACGAAATCCATTTTTGGAAATGATCGACAAAGACGGTAGAATCAATCATTTATATGTAAAGTCGAAATCGGCATTCATAACCTTCTTCCGAATCCTAATTAAACTTGCAGAGCATGTGAAATTGCATCTACAAAATAAGTTTAAAAACTTTGTGTTGAAGAAAAAATCCTTTAATGATGTTTTTTAAAAATTTACTGTGCCACGGACCTGGCACACAAAAAAGGGGTGCACTGTTTTCTGTGAGTTCATTTTGCATCTCACGCCACACACCTATTTTAGTGGTCAGATGAGTATTGTTGTAACCCAACACAGGGGACTGTGGCACATAATATGATGTGTGTGTTACGGTTAGCATGTCAGGCCAGAACCATCAGGCCACATTTTTATGGCCGAATTCAATCGTACATTATCAATTACCTGATCATTCAGTCATTCACGCATAACTATAAAAAGGATAATTTTTTCATATACCTTAAAGGAACAAGAGTTCACTTCACAACAAAGCATTCTTCAAAATGAATAATCGGCATTTCTTAATTTTTACCCTTGTCATCCTCTTGTTTAACTTCACATACTTGGCTTTCTCTTTATCGTGCCAAATTGATAGTGACTGTTTCTTTGGAACTGTATGTTCCGCTAACACTTCTCCAAAACAATGTGTTTATGGGTGCCATGGAGATAACGATTGTGCTATCGATACTACCACAACCCAGAATCAGAAATGCGATACGACGACACATCCCTTTTGGTCATGTACTTGCGGAAGTGATAGCGCTTGTCCGGCTGGCAAATGTGTTAACGGGCATTGTGTCCTTTCTTGTGTATTTGATAGTGATTGCGTGGATGCATATGGAGCCGGATATGTATGCTCAACTATTCAACCAACGTTGGGAACATGCACCATGTAAGGGATCTGGCAAATGTGTAACGGACATTGTAAGCTTTAGATTGTGTAAATATTTTCTGGTATATCATAGTAAATTTTGTTTATTAACCTACGCGATTTGAAATAAAATTATTCTGTTGCCCATTTTTTAAATCATATCTATTTTTAAATAAATACATACGCAATTAAACAGATGCTTTCTATTAAAGTATATTAGTAACAATGATCATATTATGAGCGGATTACATTTCTGTATAGTGACTTACTTTTGTCTCTAGTTATATTTAATAAATTTAATAATTACATTTTAATATTTTAACGCATCATGTCACGTGACCTCTAAATGAAATTTGATTGGCCAATTTAAATTGATCCGGCTCGGTGTCATATGATACTGCTCCCTAAAGGATTGGTGTCATGTGAAATATATGTATTACGTAGACTTAGGTGTCATGCGAAATATATGTATCATAATATAAATAGCATCACATGTGCAAAAAATAAATCAGATCATTTATTAGAAACTATGTAAACATGTTTGACTAATGCTTTCTATTACATATAAAAATAAAACAGATCATATATTAGGCGTAGTATAGGTGTCATCAAAATGCCATATTTATAATTATGGCATTATGGCAAAATGGGAATTTGGCCTTAAAATATAAAGGTCGGCATTCAATAATTTATAAAATAATTACGGCATAATTGTGGTAGAATGGTATTACGGTATAAGCGTAATTAATTTTGATGACACCTATAACTGATAAGGCATAGCAAATATGAATAATTGGTTCTCAATATAATCTTGTGAAAATTTAAGTTCGGCGGTTGGTGTTTTTATTTTTATTGTATTAAAAATTTTATATCAAAAAGTCACGTGAAAAATAAATGAATTATTTAACAAAATTTCTCGTGATTATTTTCTTTAAATATGCCTATTGTTAACACAAGAATTTTGCATGGAAATACACTATTTCTTAACTGAAAAATAATGAACACCAGGAAAAAAAAGATTATATAGGTGATAGTATTGAAATAAAATGTTTAATTATTGATGTAATAAAAGCTATCTAACATTTCGCATACAATCTGATAATAAATAATAAAATTTGATTGGCACAAATTTTGCATTTATTATAAAATAAAATCTGTGCCATTTTGTAAAATTAGGTCAGTGGGATCTGAAAACTAATTTTTCATATTTGTTATGCCTTAGAATCTATGTAAATTAGGGATGGCAACGGTCATGGTTATCTCTGACCAACCGTTTAACCGGTCATTTTAATCAAAATGATTAAAAAAATTATCTTATTAGTACAATACATTTAAAATTTGATTGTTTTTTAAAAAAAGTACTTAATAGATAATTCAGATAATCATTTTCTAGCAAAAATGATCAGTTAAGCGGTTGTTAAGCAGTTGGTCAGATGGTCGGCCAAAACGGTCAGTCAAAATGGTCGGTCGGTCAAAGGTTTATAACTGGTCATGATCGACCAATGACTGACCGTGATCGACCGTTGCGTAAATATGGGCTAATGATTTCTATTACATCAAAAATAAATTAGATCATTTATTAGAATCTATATATATTTAAATATGCACAGTGCCGGCCAAATGCTATTCAATCAGTTCTCTCTCTTCATTTAGATCTAAATCATCTAATTGGTTTTCAAGCCCATCCAGTCGAGAAAAAGTAGTTCTAATCCTTTCTAGAATGATCTTTCATTACTTTATCTTTAATTTTTCTAAAAGCCGATGGACTAAATTTCCTAATTCGCTTGATATCATCTCTCCTAAACCTTCTGTACTGAATATCTTGAAAATATTTATAGCTAAGCATTTCTTCATGTTAAAGACATTACGAGAAGTGATAGAGGGAAATTGACGCTTAATTTCATCATTAAGCAAGATTCGTGCCATTTGAAGAGGTTTATAAACTGTAAATTCAGCTAATTTTTTCACTAATACTTCCCTAAGAAAATAGTAAGAATTAAGGACTTTATATTCCACATAAGATACTTCCTTCAAGGATTTTCTCGGCCTGAACTATTTTGTCATATAAACTGACAAAAATTGCTTTTAAAGTTGTAGGGCTCTCTGTTTCCACACCCAGGTTCTTAGGTAACGGTTCAAAGTTTTGTGGTTCCTTAGCTAAGTTTCTAAAAAGATTTCAACCATATATTCATCTTCTGAAAGTGTCTGTTTACCATCATCATCTTCAAAATAAATAGTTGATGACAACGAGGATAGCCTGGATCATTTTTTAAAGAAATATTAATACATCTAAGATAGAAGTTATGAAGGCAGGACAATCTCATGATTGGTTCCAAGTTAGCTCCATTGGGTTCGAATAATATATCAGGTTCATTACACAAAGAACATGTTTTGGGTTCCGGTTGATGCGATGGGTTGATTCTTCTGAAGATAGGGGATACTTCTGTCAAATATACCCTCATGGGACCCAAATATTTCTTCTGCAATGTTCATTGTGGAGCGTTGCTATTTGATCTTTCTGATTCCATTAGTATTTTTTTTTTGAGATGTAATTTACGGAAAAGAGTAAAAATATAGGGTTTTTATACTTTCTGAATGCCTCCACTCGTAATCATGAAAATATAACAACTGGAACTTGCTAGAAGAAATACTCAATAGACTTTGTAGTTTACTAAGACCATTACTCGATTTGAAATTAGCAGATAAGTGAATCAGAATTAACCAGCTTTAACAAGATTTAAAAGCCCTTCTTTTGTTGATAAGGAAGTAAACCTGGACATCAGTCCATTTGAGAGAAGACATCGTTTTCACATGGTGGAAGACTAACATGGGAAGAGTGACTGTTTTCTGAAAAAAGATTGAGTGATGAAATTGAAATAAAATAATGGCTTAGTTACTGCACAAAATCTGATTGGCTGATCACCTCATGATTTAAGTTGAATTTACCTGAAAATAATTTAGCTGTTATATCGGCTCAGTTCTGATTTAGCCGATCCATGATGTCAGGAAAATGTATGAATCTATGCTCGTTTCAAATAAAAATGAATCTGATATTTTATTACAATATATCATTAAAGAAGTGCTAGAATTCACTATAAATCAATAAATTGCTATAAATCTGCCTCTTTGATCTTTGATCTGTGGAGTGATAACTTAAACATCTTTGAATATATTGTTATATAACAGTTTGTCTTTTCATCCTGAAGAAGCATAGCTTTGAAGGGGATATGGATTTAGATAGTAGAGCCTATTCTAAGCTTAGTCCAGTTAGACTTGGTAATGTAAACTTTGAAGAATATCAAAGAATATTTGAAGCATTATGTCTTTTAAGTGTTTGATATGATCATGAAACACCAGAAATGTGGTGCTCTCATATTCATGATCCATTTAGGAAAATACTAGAAGAGAATCCAAGAATCTTTTCTAAGAATGGATATATTAAAATGTATGGAAAGTATTATAAAAATGGTAGAAAAAGCCATTTTCCAACAAGTTATATATATTGTACTGTATGTGACTCCTTAGTTTTCATACCTGAAACTCCTTGTTTAGAAACTTCCTATCAAAATAACCACTTTAAGACACTGGTCAAAAACTAATATATTGAGTAGCAGATATGTATCAGATATATACTGTACCTGATTTGTGTAGTAAAAATGCAGAAAATTGGGTATCTAATATATGTAAGATATATGTAAATATATATATCATATATATATCGGGTACTGATATGTATATGATATGTAAATGATATGTAGACAATATATATATTTACACATATCTTATGTATCAGATATGTACCTGTTATGTGTAGTAAAAATGCAGAAAATTGGGTACCGATATGTGTATCTGCTACCCGATATATTAGTTTTTGACTATGAGAGATGTATTAATGGAGACATTATTTCAAATGAACATGTAAGAAGAAAAGAAATTCTCCAATCTATTGATGAAAGAGAATCTATTATCTGGGTATATAAACAATACATATTACAAGACTCATACTGTACTTCAATCTTGATAATGCATCTGCATTTTTATTTTCTTTACCGCTTCTGTATACTATTTCAAAATTATATTGCTGTAATTCTGTTGTCCATCTCACTTTTCTTCCTTTTGGAACTTTATTATCCATTAATTCTTTTAATGCTGCGTGATCAGTTACTACTTTAAATTTTCTACCAATTAGAAATTTGTGGAAATGTTATATTCCCCAAAATATTGCTAAGTATTCTAATTCTGTTCAAGAACTCCAAGATTATTTATTTTTCCCATTCTTAACAATTGTTCTACTTCCTTCTTGATAAATTTCTGCTTTTCCTCTGTTTCTTGATATCTTTTCTAAGCTATTGGTTTTTGACCTTCCTCAATTTCTATTCTATGCTGTACTACATTTACTCATCTTATTTTCTCCTCATTATACTCAAAAATATCCTTATATTCTTTTATCAATTTTTCTAAAATTTTCCTATTCTCATTACTCATTTCTCCAATCTTTAGCTTCTTATTAAATTTCTCTTGATTACTTTGCATCTTTTCAGTCTCTCCTGTTATTAGGCCAAGACTGTTTATTTTGCTGATTTCTTATTTTCCTATTTTGTTCTTCCTCTAATACTATGAATAATTCTTCTTCATTTCCTTCTTCATATTCTTTATTGCTTTCACTTTCTGATTCATCTGATCCTTCTAAATCTTCTGAATCTTCTTCATCTCACTATGTCATTACTTTTGCTACTTGATTCATCTTCCTTATTTTGTACTTTACAATCTATTGGTATTTCATTTTCTTCATCATTCATTTTAATTGTTAATAATCTTTCTTTCATATCTATTACTCCATGCTTCAATAAATCTGTTTCCAATATCAGATCCATCTGTTTTGATTCAATTACTTCCACCTTCAGTGGTATTTTTAATCCTTGATTGATTTCTACTTCCAATTCTGCTATTCCTAATGAAGCTATACTTTTTCCATTTGCTATTCTTAATATTACATTACTTTTCCTAACTATTGGTACATTCAAATCTTTTCTTAATTCATTTGATATTGCGGATGGTTCTGCTCCTATATTTATTAATACTCTAATTTTATACCATTAACTCGAACATTACATCTAGTTGCTTAAGTTCTTTCTTGATTTATGTTTCAATTTTGCCCAAGTGTAGTCAATATTTCAATTCTGACTTCAATTTCTTTTTGACATTTTGTTTCTCATTAATATATTGTGTCCAATTAATAGGTACATTTGCATTCAAACATGCATTTACTGGATTAAATTCTTCTACATTTGGTATCTTGTTATTCCTTTTTACTTGTCCACAATTTGTGTAGATATTATTATTTCTCTTTGTTTTCATTGCTTTTCTTCGTTGTTCTTCAGTAAATCCTTTCTTTTTCTTTTTAGGTGGTTCATCCATTGGAATATCATTTCGTGGTGGTTGTTCAAAAACTGGATTATTGAATTGTTGTGCTCTTTGACCTTGATTTACCCATTATTCATTTCTTCTCCTATCTCTTTCATTATTTGCTACTCTATCCTTATTCCTTTCACTTCTTCTAACTGGTACTGGATATATGTCTCATTTATTATCGCTACTATTGGATTCACTATAAATGTCATAGTTATTATTTACTTCATATCTGCTAATTTGCGGAATTTGCCAATCATCAGTTATGTGGCGCAGTACTAATTAAAATCAATCAAAACCCATTCCTACGTAAGAAAAAATGTCAAAAAATATATAAAAAAAACTTTTAAGACCTCTCCCAAAATATTTACCTCTTTAACCTGAAACCAGTAGAAGGAGTTTCTAGAAAAAAAAGGAAAAAAATATTATAAAGTTAGTTTATTAAAAAAAAAAAGAAAAACTTTACAAAAAATCAAAGAGTTATTTATTTATTGAAAATTTTTTTTTGAATAATTTTGCTTTCTAAATAAATTTTTTTTATAAACTATAAAAAAAAAAATAAAAAAACAGCTCCAAGTTATATCTAATATAAAATAATTACTGATATACTTGCAAAAATTCTCAACTTACTTGATGTAAAAACTGGTTGAAAAGTTGATGGGGAGTTGATGGGGAGTTTAATAGGGAGTTTACAAAAGAAAAAAAATTTTTAACGCTACTTTTTGTTGAAGTAATTTCTTGATGTCTGTCATATGATCATGTAGCACAAGTGTGATCATTTTTGCGGAACTTAATTTACCTAATTTTTATTAAATTATTGTCAAATTCCTTAATTTAGACGAATTTTGTTAATTCCGCAGATTGGCAGATATGTGATTTACTTGATACATATATTGCTCGTCATCATCACTATCTTCCTCTAAGTAATTCATTTGATTATTTCTATAATTTCTTTGATTATTATAATTCCTTTGATTATTTTGTCTTTGGTTACAAATTTTCACTGTATAACCTATTCTTTGATAACTAAAACATGCTATATCATTCCAATTTATATTGTTTTTTCCATTATTATACCCCTTTGATTATTTCCATTATTATTTCTAAATTTTTGTGGCTTCTTATTTTTAAATCCTTGATTTCCTCCTGTTTATCCATTTAATTCCCTTTTAATGAGTTAATTTCTTGTTCTAATTTCGCTAATTTTAATTTTTCTAATTTCTTAACAAGATCATCTTGATAGTTCTCTTTCAATAGTTCATTCATCTTTTCAAAAACTTGATTACCTTGTTGATTGCTTCCACTTGTTTGTGAAAGTATCATTTCTCTAATTAAATCATTTAGTGCCTTTTCTTCTGTTCTAGCCAAATTTATCGCGTTATTTAAGGTTGCTGGATTTTGTCTTACTAACTATATATTCTTCAACATTTTCATTTATTCCCTGTTGTATTATACTTAACTCCTGTAATTTTCTATTTATTATATCTTCCCTGGTAAATTTTCTTTTTATTTTATCATGCTTCAAATCATTATCATTATCTGCATCTGCCCAATTTGTCAAATTACCAATATTTGCCTCTTTCACTTCATTATACCATTGTAAATGCTGCTCCTCTCAAACAAGTTGCTGCAAATGCTGCTTGTCTTACACCATTATTTCCTGCTGCTTTTCCTATTGCTGTAAATGCAATTTCAAATTGTCTAACCCAATCATTAACATCTTCCTCTTCTTTTCCATAAAACATTGGCATACTGACTATCCCTCCTGTTTCATTTCCTGCATTTTCTATTCTTTCTGCTAAATTAACTTCTGCTCCTAGTGCATTATTCAATGCATTAGCTGGTAATTCTAAAGCATTTTCCAATGTTCTTCTTATAGCTGTCTCAACTTCCACACTAGTTGCCACCATGTTTATTATATTTTCCTGAAATAATTCTAATAATTCTTGTAAATAGTAATTGAATAATTCACTTTCAGTATCAGAATTTTGAATATTCAAACTTTCTTGATCCAATTCTTCATTCATTTCTAAAGCTCCTGTATTTATAATATTTTCTCATTTTTCTGGTTCTTTCTCTAAATTATATTCGTCTGAATATTCATCATCTTCTGGATTTAATATTTCTCCAACCTTTACTGATTCATCAGTTTCTTCTTCATTATCCATTTCATTACTGTCCTCACTATACTTACCGCCTATATAATGGAATTGGGAGAATCCCATATTCCATCCCATTCCAAATCCCATCCCAAATTTATTTATATTTTATTTTAGAATCCCATCCCAAATCCCATCCCATTTAATCCATTTGCATCAGAGTCACGTGACGTTATACAAATTTCCAAAAAAGGGCATGGCTAAAGCGGGCAGGGCTGCAGTGGCTCTAAAAATTTTGTACCGGATTCTTCTGATGGCACATAGCAGGAAAATATTTACCCACAGTGGCCCAGCTCATCACAACAGTATCGCTGTGGCATGGTAGGGCCGGTCCTTCGTGATGGTGAGGCTTGTGCCAGCACTCACTACACCCATGAAGGACCTCCCAAGCTCAGCCACAGCTCAACGTTGTGCCAGCTGGGTGCCACGGGTAAATATTTTACCGTATGTGCCACATCGGGAAAATCTGGAAAATTTTTTGAGCCACATTAGCTCCACTTTAGCCGTGCCCCAAAAAAAGGAATTTTTCTCCCGGAAAATTTTGGAATCACAAAATTTGGTTACATTAGTTTCCAAAATGGAAAATTTTATGCCGATCATTTGATTCTGGCCGGAATTAAGGAATTAAGATTTTAATTGGGATTTGGGATGGGAGCCATCCCATTTAAATGGGCGGCAAGTATAGTCACCGCCCATTTCTTCCTTCATTATTCTTTCTAAATATTCATCTAATACTTCTCTTATTTTTTTCCAATTCATTTTTATTTTCTTGGAATAATTTAATAAATTCCACATTTAAAATTTCACTATCTGTATATCTCATACTTATTAACCTTAACATTTCCCTTTCTGTTATACTTATTTCTGCTTTTTCACAAATTTCTAATAACCATTTTAATCTTTCTTCTGTTGGTATTTCTCCATCTCCTATTTCTTCAATACAATCTTTACAGATTCTACTATTTCCTTCTGTGATAAACTCATTTTTGAATAAAAAAAATGTAAAAATAAGAACTTGGATACTATTTGAGTTTATAAAACTGATACTATATATAAAATATTTTATTAAATTTAGTGAAGGTTAAAAGTTTTCAAAATTGACAGACATGACGCGTAAAAAGTGTATGGTAAAAAACTAAAAAGCCACAAAACTCCACAAGACTGATTGTCAGTAGTCATATACACAATGTATGTATATTACACTTGCAATACTGATCATCATACATTATGTATGATTTTGATGCTTACATATATGTATGGTTTAAAAACCTTAAAAAGTATCAGGACATTTCGCCGAAAGCCATTTTGCCAAAAAATAATCTCTGGCCTGAGTTATTTATAATTCTGCATAATGTTGGCCCTATTTTTTGGTGAAACGTCCTTTTGGCAAAATGGCTTTTGGTGAAATGTACCCGTAACCGGTTTAAAATAAGCCATACATTATATACTTCGTCATCCATACACTACATGTTATCTATATACTCTGTAAAAATGTGGTCGAACCTAATTGGTTCTCAATCATCTTATAATGTAAAAATAAGTGTTGGGAACTAATTGGTTTACCACATACACTATTAACGAATTTTTGTCTTATGCAATTCTTTAAATATAAAATAAAAATATCAATTTCAATTTATACTTCATGTTGTCCTTCTGAATTATCAATTTTAATTTTAATCAACTTCGCATCAACTACATCAACTTCAGTTTCTTTCTTGTCAGCTTTAATACATTTCATGTCAATTTCATCATCATCAATTAATTTTACATCAACATCAATTACATCAACTTCAGTTTCTTTCTTATCAGCTTCTATACATTTCACATTAATTTCTTTATCATCAATTAATTTCGCATCAACCTCATCATTTAATAGGAGTTTTCTCATCAACATTTTGTTGAGAATTATCTTCAGATTTGGTATCCACTCTAATTACACAAGAAAGAAACATTATCAAACATAGAATATAACCAATTATATGACTCATACATCGAATTACACTAAATTCATAACACATATCATTCCAACTTGTAAAGAATGTAAGACTAAGACTGTAAGAGTGTTTATAATAACTATAATAAAAGGGGTTTATTACAAAATCCTGACAACCATAAAATTGACAGTCTACAATCCTGAAACCAAGATCCTGACAAGCCCAAATCCTATTGAAATAACAGTTAAAAATCTTGACAGTAAAAATACCAAAGTTTTTTTTTTTAAAAAAAAAAAATTATATAAATTTTCCATAAAACCATAATCTTAAAAATGCAGACGCAGTAACAGGTTAATTTATTCAATATAATTAAAATATAATTTGTAAATTTTATAATACTAATGTAAATTGTTTGCAAATTTTATTAATATTAATGCAAATTAACTAACGTTGCTATATTATTAATAAAAATTAAAGAAAAAATTTTTTATCTTAGTTAAAAGGTTTATGTACTGTACAGTATATTACTAGATTACTAACTATTCCTTCTAAAATTAGAAATAATTGTCGATTATCAAGCTTTATTGTTACGCAGCAAAATCACAAATCAAAGAAAATCTTCTTAATAAATAAACTTCTAAAAGTCATTAAGTATGATAAGTAAACATATCTTTAGTTTTACAACTTACAAGTCTATTTAGAGTGGTAAAGGTAGTTTAAATATCACTTTCTTGTAATAACGAATATTTTTATTAATACGTAGTAATTTTAAAATTTTTCACAAGAATTAATGATTTTATTATATTAATTAATTAACATTTGTTTATTAATACATTGCAAAAATTAACAATTAAATAATCTTATTAATATGTAAAGATTTTCAAAAAATTAATGTTTATTTTAGCAATTATAATTTTTATTAATATTTAAGATCCGATTCGCGTATGAACTACAGAAAATTACTATTTAAATTCGGGGAACGGTTATTATAAAAATGGCAAAATTGGCAAAATATTACAGATTATAAAAACCGCAGATGATCACGCTGTAGCACCAAAATTCACGTGATGAAACCTTAAATGCTAAAGATAATAATGATCAAAAAAAATTGGGAGTTTTATTTATTTCTTAAAAACTTTATTTTGAGGCAGCGTCAGATTTGGCGGAAATATATATATATGTATTTGCTATGTTTAAAACACGCACTATGATTATTTTTTATAAATTAACAAATAAAAACAATTAGAACTATATTTTACACATTTTTATACGTTTAGAACTGTTTGTTTTATACAATTATTTCATTTTCTCTTGCCTCTAATTCACGTATTGCCATGATTTCTTTCCATTTTTGGGAGAAACCAGTAATCCAATTCTGAATAGTAGAGATTTTAGGTACTTCATTTTCGTCTAATTCTCCAAGTTGAACACGTCGCACAAGTTCCTCATACATTTGTTGAGCTGAAAATTTGTTATTTGGATTTGCTGTTCCGGTATGAAACATATTTTCTAATAAATGTTTCGCACTTTTAGATATTCGCTTCCATGATTCCCGCTTGTAATTCTTGTTAGATTTTAGGGCCCACCCAGATACAAATACATCGTGACTATTGTTGTCAAACAAAACCAATTGTTAGTATAATTGATTTATGAGCTTTTATTATAATAAAATATCTTACATTTGCTTTTTTGAACTTCCTATTACATTTGTAATATCCATACTATTCAAACTTGAATTCAAAAGATCCTATATATTGAGTAGTTTTTATTTTTGTGAAAAAAAAATTTTTTTCAATTTTAAATTGTTCATACCAATTCCAATAATTCATCATTGGTGACAGAATCATCTGTATCACGAAATATTATTAGTTTCATGGGGAATTTGAAATAAATGCAAAAAACTATCATACCTTTACTGACAACAATAGGTAACGTCCATTTTTTAGATGGTTCTGTATGAGTAGAATATTCTGGTTTGGGCTTTTCATTTTTTCTCTGCTTTCGAATTTTTTTTATTTGAGCTGGAGACCATTTCTTCCATTCTCCAATTCCAGGCAAAATCCTAGCACATACGAATCCTGTATCCTCTCCTTGAGCTGGCCACGTCCATTCATGTAGACTTTTAATTCCAGCTATTGTACCAATTTTTTCTTTTCCTATACGAAATAAATATTATTACTGACAAACAAAAATATTGTACATAATTTCTTCAATTATTGAAATACCTTGATTACGATTTGGCAGCAAGTTGGCAACTTTTGTTCCTGCAATATCATGAATTGCTGCCTCTATATCATCACCAGATTCAATTGTACAACCCAGTTTGACATGACGTTTTATTGCTTGTGATATCTAATAGGAATAAATCAAAGGTAAACAAAATAATAATAGAATTTATAATAAATGAAGTAAGCAATATAATAACTACTTGAGCGTGATGGGAATCTATCAGTGTTTTAGCCTCACCAGCTTCCAAAAAGATCCATTTTCGAGGAACAATATCATACCATTCTTTCCATTGACCTATTATCAGCATCAATTCTGTACAATGATAGTGAGGCCCATTGTCCGACATTATTGTTATCCATTTTGGCTTTGGATCAAGATTTTCAAACACGGTATGAAGAGAAGATGCTGTAAACCAGGCATCTTGGCCAGTATCGTCACTCCAATGGTCATATACTTGTATATCAAGCTTGTTATTTGTAATATCTTTTGTATATACTAGTGATGAATGTAGAGTCCAACCCCTTTTACCAAAGAATTGAGATTTTGTTTCCCTTGCAGTGTGCGGAAGTATCCTCATTTTATAGTCCACTATAATAACTGCTCCATCTTCATCTAACTCATCAAGATTAACCTGAACGTGAGTATTTAAATAAAACTTTCGTGCATGATGTCCTAACCATGAAATTAATTTTTTCAAATAATCATCTAATAATTCATGTAATTCTTCATCTACCTGATTTTTTATTAGATCAAAAAATTGGAATAATTCTACACAATCGTTACATATTTCAAAATGCTGAAGATTACAAATTCCAAAGGAATGGCTAAGGCAATGGCATATGCAAGATTTATGTGCCTGAATTCCTGATGAGGTAATTTTCAAATTCTTTATGTATTCACGCCTCATATATCTTCTCAAAATATTCAATTTTCGAGTTAACTCCTCCTGCATTATAGAATATGATTAATTTCAATATCAAATTTCTGAATACAAAAAATTCTTGAATATAATACCTTCAAAGATTCATCTTCTACATGTGTAGCAATTATGGTATTAATAGACGCAAAGCTCTCATATCCACATTCATTGCATTCTGAGCAAAGACCACTTAAATTATCTTGATAAACAAATCTACTACCTTGTAAACGTGTCATAAATGCTGTATGACGCATTCCATTTGGATACTCTTCAGAAAATTTCTCCCAAAGAGCCTGCTTATGGTCCTGTAAATACATTATAGGTAATCCTGATTTTTAATGAGTTCGGTAAGAGCTCATGTTGACAATATCCTTTCTCATGAAAAAACTATCAAACTGATCAATTTGCTCTATTTTAAACTTTAGACGATGAAATTTTGGCTTTTCAATAGGTGGAGCACCAAAACCATTCAATACAGCATGTCTTCTTGATTCAAGAACGGTATAAGATGCTACCTGTAATATTAGATAATTAGTTATTGCGTTCAAAATTACTGCCAATATTATGCTAATTACAAAAACATATTCTTACCCCTAAATTATATTCTAATTCTTCATAGGTAAAATCATTGGCAATAATTGATAAAATACGCCGTTTTCCATCTCTGGTTTTTTTATTATCATCCAATGCTTGTCGAAAACAAGACCAAAAAGTTTCTGTAGAATTTGAAGGATTGCTGGAAAGAAATCCCATCTTGTAAAGAGTAGTAAATATCTGTTTTTCTTGTATTGGATTTCGTGATTTAGTCCAAAGTTGATACTATAGAATTAAAAGTTATTTTTTATTCGTGTTTATAATTTTTCAATATACAACTCAATCATACCTCAGATTTACCAGATTTATCATGGGACCAAGGAGTAATATCAGAGCATCCTGCAGCATGAAGCATAGATAACCATGCACCCAGTTCACGATCAGAAAATTGATGCTCTGGTGGGTATAATAATTTTAATTCTGAATTTAATTCTATTACATTACACTCATTTTGATCCCATCTAACAAATAATTTTTACCATTCAATTTTAGCAAAAGTTTGATGCTGAAGATGATATTCATATAATTTTTTCATTAGTTTGAAATTATTCCATTCATGAGGAGCGCATTGTGGAATACGTATCTTATTTATTTTTTGTAATGTAATTTGATCTTCCAACCCAAATAATTCTTTTCCTGAAAATTTTTGAATATAATTTGAATTTTTCCAGATGTCATCTGGGGTAGTTCCTACAAATGTTTTTTGAATTTTAAAATCTTGATAAATATAAATGTAACATTTATCATCTTTAATTTCAGATACAAATATAGCTGCACGTTTCTTATATGTGTGAATAATTGATGACTTGTAACCATTTCCTGCTTGATTCCAATCTGAACGTGTAGATTAACCCAATCCATAAATAAATATTTCATAATCACCAAGTTTACATGAAAATGGACAAAAATCAATATTAGATGAAAGAACATCTATTATATTTTTATTATCCCATCCCATAATAATAGAACCAGAATAACGAGTTTTTTTTTGAAAAATATTTTGATAAACTTCAGAAACTGCCTTAGTTGCACTTGTTTCTATGACCCAAAACTCACCACTTTGACAAAAATACTCAGGTAACATTTGATTAGAACTGGAAATCTGTACTATTATATAAAAGTCACGTCTATTCAAACAAGCATTAGTTTTTTGGCCTGCTCTAATTGGAAATCTGAGTTGGGTATTTGCGTCAGGAATACTTAGAATTTCCCACCAGTAGCGTGAATAAGGTCCATAGTGAAGATTTTCTATAAGCGAGCCAAGTTCTACTAGTATAACATACTTTTGAGACATGGTTGGCTTCAGATTTTAGCGTTTTTTACGAGTTGGTTTATATAAAATTTTTTTTTTGATATTATTCTTTGCATTTAAGCCTTATCACATGTTCATTGGTGCTACAACATTATTATCTACAGTTTTTATAATATATGACGATATGCAAATCTTATTAATTTAACTGTTTGTTTTCCCCGGATATATATAGTAATTTTCTGTAGATCATATGTGAATCGGATCTTAATGATTTTTAATAAGATTTCGCAAAATTTCATAAATTATTATTTACATAATAAATTTTAATTTTGTTTTATATTAAATAAAAGTAATTTTTTGCATAAAAAGATATAATTATCTATTTTTTAATGTATAAGAATAATTTTAACCCTGGGTGATTTAACCTGGATGATTTAATCTATTAGTAAATTTTATATAATTATATAATTTTGCCCAAATTTTCAAAAAAAAAATGTAAATTGTGATTACAATAAAAAATGAGAGAAATTATCAAAAATGTAAGAAAACTTGGTCATTATGTTCTATAATATCCAAATAAATAAAATCTATATAAAGCGAAATGAATAATAACACAAATAATTTTTTTTAAAAAAAAAAATTATTGATGAAAAATATAAATTTTAGGGGGGTGATTTAACCCAGGTTATTTAACCCAGGGGACAAGTTAGCAAAACTCTTTTTTAATATATGATACTGAGATTAAAATTTAATAAATTATTTTAAAAATTTTTTTGTACTCATGTGGATATTAAGTATCAGTATTGGTAGTATAATGCTCAACCCTGTGATGTGGGTCATCATCACGTTGAGTCGTTAACAAAATGTTTCTTTATTTAAAAATAAAATATTCTAACCACATAAAATAACTATAATAACTATATTAACTTAAAATCTAATCTAAAAATAAACTTTGATAGTTTCCCTTCATATACTTTCTATCAATCCTTAAATTAATTAAGGAGGCACTTGTTCATCATAAAAAAAAGGCAAAAGGAATCAAAATATAATAATAAAGGTAAAGGGGAATTATTTCTTATCTCTCAGACACTCGGAAAAGTGCTCATTATATAGATATTTTACAGTATTGATCATTTCCTTTGTCCTATAATTCCATTGTAAAATATTCTCTAAGCCTCATTTCATTCAGATGATTAACTTATAGATCTTATAATCAGGTGATTTCTTTTTTCTCCTAAGCCACAATTATTCTAAGCCTCAATTAATAAATAATGACGGTCTCTTATATTTCAATCGAACAGGTTTGATAGTTTAACATCATTCCGGACTGCAATTAATAAAAATAAAATTTATATACTTAACCTAAATATAAAACTGCGCCTCATAATTATAAATTCACTAGATGATTCCGGAGTCAGGGATGGAAGGAAAAATTTCCATTAGCAAAGATGAAAAGTTTTTTTCTTGGCTAATAAATATATATATACAGTCAGCTCTCGATATAATGAATCCTCCGGTTTCATCTCAAATTCGCTATAAGATTATAACGAAGAATTCAAAGAATTTATTCGTTATAACGAGGAGATAGTTGACGTATTTGATTGGTTAAATGTCACGTGTTGTGAAATTTCGTTATAAAGCGAGTCGAAAGTTGACTGTATATATTTCCGACAAATACTTTTATATAATATATACTGTATATAATAAATATCTTATGCACAATATACATATAAGAAAAAAATTGCTTTTTAGTCACGATATTACAAGTCAAATATACTATTTGCAAATATTGTTAATCAAGTATAAAATATTCATCCAGTAATCATAACAATTCGGATTTTTCAAATTCATTATTTAGGTCCGTCGCTCCAACATAATTTTTTATTTAATGTCCAGAATTTATGAGGGGAGAATGGTTTACAATAATAAACAAATTAAGTGAAATAAGCATAATAAATTTTGGGAATTTTGAGGAAATTCAGGAAATTTTTTGGAGGACCACGCACATGTATTTGGTGGAATATTATAGTGAGAATGACGAGGATGACCAGGATGAAAGCGAGTAAATTAAACCACTTATTTCTTTTTTGCCCTCTTTTCCGTTGTAAATTTCTGAAAATCATAACAATTAAATTGGAGTATTCATACTTATTTATAAAATACATGTTTTTTTTTATACCAAATTTATTATTTGAATAAACTTTTCAATATATTTTTATTGTAGTATTTATATATATAATATTTGTCTCTTATACACATCTAGATGTGTATAAGAGACAGTTTTAATCCATTCAAAATCATCAAAACCATAAGAGAATTTATCATGATAAAAAATTTTAATAATTCCCTTCTTCTTAAAAGATTCTATCAAACTTAAATGTTTACTAGATAAATGAAACATTTCAATAAAATGTAATAACATAGGTTTTCTATTCTTCCAATTTTCAAAAAAATTCTTTAAAGCTTCAAATTTAATTGTAGTACGATGAATGAATTTAAATTTGAATAAATTCTTTGAAGCCCTTTTAATTAATATTTCAAATAATCTATCCCAACCCATTTCATCTGTATTAATATTAAAAACATTTAAAATCAATCCATCTAAATGTCTACAATTAATTAATAAATTTTCCAATTCTAATATATCATCATCATTAATTATTAATTCAAGGTATTGAAGGTTAGGACAATTATTATAAATTGCTTGTATTAATTTTTTTGTATGAACTTCAAATGATATGTCAGAAATTTTAATTTCTAAAAGAATTCCTTTATTATTTTCAATAAAATTTACTAAAATATTTGTTGGTACTTTATGAGCTTTTAATATTCGTAAAGATGGTAAAGAAACATTTTCCAAATTATTCCAAGAAGCATTATGTTCATGAGTACCTATTTCCAAACTTATTAAATTAACATATGATGATAAATTTGGAATTAATTCATTATTAACTTGTAAATGACGAATAGTATTCGCACGTTTAACCAATGATTTCCCACAAATTCTATAAAATAAAATGTCATCGATCCTTCTGGTCATGAGATCAAATACAAATCGAACATCTTCTAATTTTGTTTGAGCTTCAATAAGATCAATTATTCCAGGTTTATTAATTACTCTAACATTCACCACCAATTTTTTGATTGATTTACAAACTTGAGCCAATCCATTTAAAAATCCCTGATTTGTCTTTACGTCACAACGAAGAGATTCAAGTTCCGAAAAACAATGTTCAAACCCCGAAAGATATTGAATTTGACGTTTATATCCGTATGGTATAATAAGATGAGTAAATCTATTATTTTTATTAATAAACAATTTGAATATTTCCTCACTAATCATTGACCATTTAATTTCTTCCTTAATATTTCGGATAGTATAAATTATTCTTTCTAATTTATGTAAATTCAAATATCTGCAAAAACTAATATAATTAAACAAAGGTGGTTTATCTGGTTTTATTAAAAGATTTAAACCATGACTTATCATATAATCTCTTGATTCATTCGTTAAAAATGAAACAACTGTTTCTAATAATAATCTCTCTTTAATAAGATTTTTCCAAGGATCTTTCCATAAGATTGGAATTGCGACTTCACACCAATTTTTATTAACCAAAATTGAAGAAAATAGAGAATCTTTATCATCTTTTAACTCCTCGAATATTAAGAAAAGTATATCTTTATTAAGTTTTGACATGTTAATTTTTTTTGTTTTTTATATACAGTATATAAAACGATATTTACGAGAAAGAAAAAATTTTTAGCGTTTTTGGCGTGAAAAGATGATCATTAAATCATTTAATACGAGTTTTTAAAAAATGATGCAATTTGTATAACGTAAATGCACTAATCAAATTCGATCATCAAAAAATTACGTAAACATTAATCAGTGCTGTGCCACGTTGTTGTATTAACTTGACCATACCAAAAAATTGTAACAAGAATAATAAGAATAATGGAATAATGAGATAAATGAATTAATTTTATTTGACGCTAAAATTTTTTAATTTATTAATAATTTTTTTTTTTTTAATTGAAATTACGATGATCGTTACGATTTTCAAAAATAAATAAATAAATAAATAAATAAACCGAAAAAAAATAACTAAGTTATCAAAGTTATCCTTAAAAAAAAAAAATTTTTTAATATTAATTAAGTGCAAAACGAATGAATGAATTAAAATTTTAGGAATTTCATATACCGTATTTTGCGGTATATAAGCACTCTTTTTTTGCACTTGATGCCGGCTAAGATCCTCATAATTTTAGCCAAAATCGCCATAATTCTGGCCAGGGGTGCTTACTTTCGGGGTGCTTACTTACCGCAAAATACGGTAAATCATAATTATTTCTCACCCCTGAAATATAAAATAAGAGAATTACCATGTAAAAGCTTATTTTAGTATAAATATTCTAGTTAGAAAAAACACGAAAGATTAAAAGTGTTTTATTCCTTTGTAGGCTGATTAATCATATGATCGTGATTTTACATAGCCAACATATATTGGATTATCCATGCTAAAGTCGGTTTCTCCCCGATTGATAGAGAATAAAATATAGAATTTCGATTTGTCACTTTTAAAATTTATAAGTATCAGAATTATTTAGGTTAAATTTTTCAACATTATATATATAAATATATATGTTCTTTTTTTTTTTTTTTTCTTAATTCCTTACCGTAAATTCTTATGTTTCTCGAGTCACATGATGTTTTTTCAAGAAATCATATGATCTGTATGATCTGTGAAGATGTTCATAATTTTCATTTGATGATCACATAATTTAATTAAAGAAAGAAAAGAGGAAATCGATGCACGTTTTACTTTTCAATTCATTAAATTGATTTTTCTTTGTACGAGATAAAAATAATCAAAGAACATTCTTTTTTTCTTTTATGTGAATGAAAATATTTTAAACTTTCTTTAAATTAATTTTTTACAACCTGATTATTCTTTTTAGAAATCATGCACTATTTCTTACAGTTGATCTACAAGATCTTAATCTAAAAATCTCATAATAAAACAGTTCAAGAAAATCTTTCTAATGGAATAACTCGTATAACTCGTATAAAATTTATAACAGGAAATGAAAATTTGATCCAGAAAATATTCATAATAATTTTTTCGAAATTTCCGAAATGAAATTAAAAATTATATCAAGAGTTGTACGAGAGATGATGGATCTTATATGGTATTTCTTAAAGCATCTGATAATGAAACACTTTACAATATAAATAATGTTCTTCAACAAAAAGCTTCAGATGATGGATTGATGGTGGTGAGGACTAAGATCAAGATGCTAAAGCAGCTTTAAAATGGTTAAAAAAATCTGCTGAACATGGTGATGTTAACGCTCAATTAACGATTGCAAATCTATTGCGTGAAGGAAAAGGTGTTACTAAAGATGAGACGGAAGCTTTTAAATGGTTCACACAAGCAGTGATAATCCAAAGGTACAATATAATATTGGTTTAATGTATCTTGAAGGTGTTGGTGTCACGAGAAATGATGAGGAAGTTTACAAATGGTTAAAAAAATCTGCCATTAGCGTAAACCATCGGATATTTATTATATGAAGAAAGAATTCTTGATAAAGATATCAAAACAGCTATAAAATTATTGAATCAGCTGCTAAACAATAATATTCAAGCGCAAATAATTATGGGTATAAAATGATAAAAAAGCATTAAAATGGATTAAAATTGCTGATGAACTAGAAAATCCTGATGCTCAATTTATGCTTGGACAAATGTATTCTAAAGGCAAAGGAGTCAAGCAAGATTATGTAGAAGCTATAAAATGGTCTAAACATGCTGTTGTACAAGGACATCATGAGGCTGGAATTGTATCAGACGCAAATTAGATATAATGAGAGATATATACAATTAATATAGCGTGCTTCAATTACAAAATATATACGCAGTAGGGCGAATTTTTTTAATATTAATAAGCCGTAAGAGTAAATACTTGATGTAGCTTCCACCACTAATGTAATATTAATTAGAAATAAATAAATTAGAATAATTATGAATTATTTAATAATATACGTAATTTATAATTACATTCCGTTTAGAAATTCCTAGACCTTTTATATAATTAAGCCATCCCAACTATATAACCGTTCGTTTTATCTATCAAATTTCCAGACTAACTTCTGATAAATAATTATATTATTAATTAAATAGGTTTCTAAATAATCGATAAACTCATTGTATTATGAACGTTAACACAGTGCTTACGGTGCTTATCATATTTTCAGCCGGATGACATGTTAATTCAGGCAGACAATTTTGAAAATTGACTTTTAAGATGTTATACTAAATCACAGTATTACAGTATTATAACGCTTATAGCCTTGTAAATTTATAAATTGTCCGTAATATCACTATAAAAAATTTTTTCAGGAAATGATCACGTGTCTGAGTTTCTCGGAAAATGATCATTTATCGGAGTTATTTTTTTTCAGAATTTTTTTTTTTTCAGAGTTTAAAAACAATGATCATTTATCGGAGTTTTTTTTTCCATAATTTTTTTTATAGGGATAGTTGTATCATTTCCGTATCACTTTTATTAGAGATAGAGATCCGCCAATTTCAATGCTAGAAAGAAGATCTTACCGCCATTAGAATCGTTTCGTCATGACGAATCGAATGGTTGTACATTATCAATTTGCGATAGCAAACAATCAGCTTTACGGAACTATGATATAAAATATGTCAATATCATATTATAAACCGCTATAGACATACGATCGTATACGTAAATTTTCGTTATCCCTAACACCAATCAACATAATTATCATGATACATTATAATAATTCTTTATTAATTTATTAATTTATTGAAATAATAAAATATATAATAAATAAAACATCTTATAAACTTTAACCATCTTATAATACTAATTCCAATCAAATTCATCAAAAAAGATATTTGATAAATCATAACGAAAATTTTTAACTATACCATTTTTAATATATTTTTCAATTAAATTAAAATAATCATCAGTAAAATGCATTTCATGAATTTGTAATGACATCGATTTTCGATGTTTCCAATTATCAAAAAAATTTTTTAAAGATTCTAATTTACATTCAAAATCTGAAACAAATTTAAATTTAAATAAATTTTTTGGTGCATAATTAATTAATAATTCAAATATTTTATCCCATGTAGTTTGATCTCTTACAAAACAAACAATTACTAAACCATTTAAATATTGACAATTAATTAATAATGATTTCATTTCTAAAATATTAAGAGTATTAATATTTAATAAAAGATATTCAAGAATTGGACAATTTTTATAAATTGCCCTAATTAATCTATTATTACTAATATCATCATCAAGAAAATCAGTAAAATCAATTACAATATCTGTAAGAAATCCTTTAGTATTTTCTATTAAACTTGCCAAAACATTATTTGGTACGCTTCTTGATTTTAAAATTTGTAAATAAGGTAAAGATAAATTTATTAAACAATCCCATTTCATTTGACGAAATTTATCATCCAATTCTAATATTCTTAAATTTTTTAAAGAGGAAAGAATATTTGTAGTAGGTTGTTTAGTTATCTTAAACCATTGAATATTATTTGAATGTTTAATTAATGAATTTTCAATAATCTCACAAAATGGTTCATCAATTTCAATATTAGTTAGAAAATAAACATTATATAATTTTTTTGGAGTTTCAATTAATCTAACAATCTCACGATTATTATCGAACTTTTCAATACAGAGTTCTAATTTTCTCATTGTATCACACATTCCAGCTAATCCAATTAAAACATTCGTATTTATGCTAGTATTACAATGAAGGAATTCAAGTTGTGAAAAGCAATATTTCGCTCCAGGAATAAGATGTATCTGATAATCAAATTCTCGAGGTATATAAAGATGAGTAAATCTTGCATTCTCATTTATTAAGAGATTGAATATTACAATTTTTATATTTGATATTGTAGAATCCTCTTGAAGAAAATATATCATTTCAATTATTCTATTGATTTCATTTAAATTTAAATGCTTACATAAATTAATATAATCAAAAAAAGGTCTTCTATATTGAGTCATCATAAAATGTATACCTTTACTATTTAAATTACTTTTTGATTCCGCTGATATATGTGAAGTTATAATATTAAATAATGATTTTTCTTTTCCATCGTTTAAATATTTCCAAGGATTTTTCCATAGAATTAGAACAATAATTTCACACCAAATTTTATTAACTGTTAGGCATAAATAAAGTGTATTTTTATCATTTTGTAATTGTTCAAATATCAAATAAAGGATATCTTTATTTAATTTTAACATATTTTTTTTATTTTTTTTGACCTTTGTTAATATTTCAATTAAGTAAAGAGGAAACGGTATATTTGTAAAGACGATTGGTACATAATACATTTAAATAGTCGATCAAATGAAACATTTGTATTACGTAATTACATAATTACATAATTACATAATTATTGTGTCAGAGTTTATTATCCCTAATATTTTATATCTATGATATCATTATTCGCAAAAAAAAATCATTTTATTTTTTCGTCAAAATATTATAAATTTTTTTAAAAAAATAAATGTAATAAATTGAATAGAATTCAGAAAAAAAAAGAGAAATTATTCGTATCGCATGCGATACGATAGATACGATATATACCTACATATATTGTTAATATAAATTACATAAATTAATTATTTATTAAAAAGAGTGGCATAAGTAATTAAAAAAAAATATTAAAAAAACGTGAGGTTTACATAACCTTCCAATTATATCTTAATTAACCTGTAATTTTCAGGATCGCCAACCTTATTCTAACGATTTTGATGATTTAAAGTTTAAGTGCTGTGCGCGGAGTTCTCTATATTTAGTGTAAAAATAAGCCTCGATTCGTTGCAAAAAAAAAAAACAAAATAATAATAATAAATTATTAAAAATATATAAAATGAGATATTATTTGTTCAAGTAAAGATAAATATTTATACGTGTACTACCATCATGCACGCATATTTGACTTTTAACCTTTTGACCGATTATATATAAGTTATTCGGTAAATTGATATTTTAATACGGTATATCGTTAAAAATGATTTAGGCGAATTAACAATTATAGTTGGTCTAAATACATACGCTAGGATGACATTTTGATTTTTTATGGTATCTTACGAAAATATTTAACGTCAGAAACCATTTCTAAAATTTTTATTCGAATATATCGTAAAAATTCCGTTAAAATGATACATTCACGGAAAAAACATGGAACGATAAAACACGAGTGGTATTTTTCGGAGGTTCCATTAATAGTAACTCCGGCAAAACCAGCATTTTTAAACTTTTAATTAACTTTTCTTTGGTCTTCTTAACATTTATCTGTAACATAATTATTCATTTTCTTTTCATATAAATAACTTTCCTTATAATGCGATTCGAAAATCTGTCCATCCGGATAATCCTTATATCCGAATCGAACCTATATAACTAATAATTTGATAATTTCCTGGATGCATCATCCGTCACAGAAAAATCCGGATTAATCGTATATAGTAGAAATTATGTTCATATTTCCAGTTTAAAAAAAGAACGTCTTTAATCCTAGACCCCTGGTTCAGGATTCTTATTCTAGACCCTCGGAGTTCAGGCTTCTTATCCTAGAACTCCTTAAGTATGATTGGTTTAATCAGCCACTGAAAATTATTCACGATATTCCATATTCACATGTAACATTTATCTTAAAAATTTTCACACCACGCACATAACATTTTTTATCTCGTAACATTTATATTAATTCTTTAAAAATATTTCACAATGAGATATAAAGTATTAAACATTTATCTTGGAATTTTTATGACAAAAAAAATGATGTAAAGAATTATTTATTATATTTTCATTTATTCTCTTACAAAATAACGAAAATAGATTCACAAAATTTCCATTAAATATGAATATTCAAGCAATTTTATTTTTCAATAACACCAATTTAATCAAAAGTGTTAAAACTATACCATGAATCTACAAAAAGCGATGTACATGTTAGTAATATCACAAACTTTAGTTGAGAGAAATCTCAAACAATACAAAACTCAAAGAAACCAGAATAAATTTACCTATTTCAAGTGTTAAAGATTTTGATAAATTTTTTTTTTTTTTATTGTTCTCATATACACTATTATGAAAATAATGGTAATAAAAAATATTTAATATAAAAAAAAAGAAAAATTTTATGTAAAAAAGAAAAGTATATCAAATGAAAGAGTAGTGTAAGAAAGAGAGCGAGCGTATATTTATTTCGTGTGAAAAAGAATGAAAAAGAAAATGGTAGAAATGAGGCTGATAATAATCAGCTGTACCACAAGGTCTGGGATCTAAGATAAGGTCCAAATTCGGATCACGTGAATTCGGTCAATGCTCTGCCTACAATGTGATTAGGATATCCAATACGTCAAAACCGGTACACAGAACTGAAAGGGTGCTATAATTTTATTATAATTTACATTGCACAAAAGCAACACCTTAGTTTTTCCCGCAATGCTATAATTATTAAGAAGCATTTAAACTAAACGCCATTCGGGAAACTGAGATTCGGGATATTGACTTCGGGAAAAGGTATATTTGGGAAATTAGGATTCGGATAATGGCATTCGGGTATTAGCATTTCGGGAAAATGTTCATTTTGGGATAATGGGATTCGGGATATTGGTTTCGGGAAAAGGCATATTCGGAAAATTGGGATTCGGGAAATCGTGCTGTAACCGACTAAGCCACGCCAAACAAAAGTTAATGATCGACAGCTTATATCAAAAAATTCAAATTGTCATGAGTTTTGTCGGCTGAAAAAAATTATCAGTTTCGAAGATAAAGGAAAAGAAAATTTTCATCTTTTACCTTTTCTCGGAACCAGGCACATATAATTTAATTATTATTCCTCTTTAAATATATACGTATTTGACAATAGATAACTAAGATAGGGGAAAAGTATGTGATGGTAAATAGAAATGTAAAGAATTTATTTAAACGTTGTTCTTGTTTTCCAAATATGCAAGTTCGTATCTAACTCAAAATCACATTGTTTCATCTTATTTTCACAAACATAATTAACACAATTAATAATGTTTAGGTAAGATCATTTTGGTAAAAAGAAAATCTAATTCATATTGGGAATAATTTTAAGTATAAATTACGTAGCTATTAGGTAGAGATGATAAAATATTACCGACATTTTGTCTAGATAATGCACAAATTATTTGGCTCTTGTTGTAGCAAATATATGTATGTTACTTTAGTTTAATACTTTAAATATAATGAATCTAGATAATCAATAATCAATGGCTGAAAATATTTGGTTCTTACGACCGATATTATGAATAATAAACATATTTTTATAATAATAGCTTTTGAATTTTACATTAAGAAAAATTGTTGATCAATCTTTTTATCACTAATATCAGTTGTTATCTTTTAGTATTATCTAAAGGAACGTACTTTGATTCGACAATAAATATTAATATCAAGGATAATTTGAATGAAACATTTGAGAATAAATAAAAATCATTGATCAATATACAATATACTGTATAATCGATGAACCGTTGACGTTAAACACCAGGGTATTTTTATAAGGCTGATTAAAATCCGTTAGTGTGTTTATATTATGATTGATGTTATTGAAATTAAAAATATTGGAAATTGTTATAAATCATTCACAAAAAAATATCTTTTTTCTTTATTAATAAAAGATCATTACTGAAATTTAATATAGAGCTTGAAGATGAAAACTTTGTAAATATTTTCAAATATGTTAGAATTGTACTAGAGTAAAAGTGATATTTATAAAAATAATATCCCGGATGTATCTTAAGTGCTACCAGGATTTTTCTATGTTAATGGTTAATCCATTTATCGTAAAAGCAAAAGGTATATCTTTCAAAAATTTATTAAAAAGTTGATCTTCTGAAAAATATCCTTCGTTCACCACCTCATCTCCATAATCAATCTCTGTAAATGATTTCTTATCTTTATCCTTTTGTAAAGTGTCATAATACTCATACTTTCCCAAAAAATTTTCTGGTCTTGCCGTTAGAATAATTTCATCGCCATGTAACGCGCTCAACATGATGGAATTATCAAATTCTGAATCTAATGTAGTGGTAATTATATATGTATGATCAGGAGGAATTGCGAATAAATTCTTTAAAGACATGATAGGAATGATGTGTGCATCATATTCACTTGTCATAAATTCATTAATTAATTTAGCTCCAAGAGAACCAGTATTAAGATATGATGACGGATCATTTTTTAAGTTGTCTTTGAACTTGCATAGAAAATTAACCAACCATGTACCTAAACCACAACCTTCAACATAACCATCATACCGTTGATAAATACAAACATAATATTTATAAAAGTATTGACTTTCAGATGGACCACCTAAAGCACTTGTTTTATTTCCTCTTTTAGCTTTACGTTCACGAACAATTGTAAGACCGCTTGTTCCCATTTGTAAAGTTTAATCAAAAATAATATAATTTCAAAAATAAAAGAAAAAATAAAAAAGGATATATGGTCATATTTATAAGAATTAGTAGTATATATAAATTATTTTTTGTGAAGCAGATTGTGGAACATGCTTTTATGTATATACAATATGTTTTAAACTTGATTGTTATAAGGCTATCATATGCATGTTTACCAATATCATGTTCATTATGTAATGATTGAATTGTGACATGATTTTCATGATTTTATAAAAATTAGTTATTGTACGAGCGTGCTTGTTAATGGTATGATGTGGCACGAATCCATTTATCAAGCACGATACCGGCGATACCCGTGCAATAACAATATTAATATACGATTATCATTTGATTATCAACTATGCTTTGCTTTTAATTATATTTTTCATAAGCTTTTATATTAGATCTAATATCTAGGGATGCCAACGGTCGGTTCGGTTCGGTTTCGGTTTTAAAACCGCGGTTTTCAGCTGAAACCGAACTGACCGCAAAACCGACCGATAAAACCGAATTGCAAAACCGATCGCAAATTACTGCAAAATTGAATGAACTAATGTTAGAAAGTGTTAATTATAATTTTATTTGATAATATTCCTTAAAATTATAATTTTTTTTACGATAATAATGTCAATTTTGCGATTTTTTTCAGCGGAACGAAAAATCACGTGATCGACGCGTAAAAAATTTTCTTATTATTTCAAAAATAAGAATACTATATATATAAATAAACACCAAAATCATAATTTTTAATAGTATTCTCAATATAATAAACATTCTTTTCTTTTGGAATATATGATTAACTGATCGGTTTTTTTGTCGGTTTTTTTATATATAAAACCGACGGTTAACCGGTCGGTCTTGGACTGAAACCGAACCGTAACCGAACCGATAAAAACCGGTTATAATCGGTTATAACCGAACTTTTGGCATCCCTACTAATATCAAATCCAGATTTTAATATCAAATTAATATTACCAATTAATTTTAAATTTAATGTATAATCTTTTTTTTTTAAAAAAAAAAAAAAACTTGTAACGCATCTTTTATTAGGATAAATTAATTGATCCATAAATACAGATACCTAGAAACGTCCATGCTAACATGAAACGCCTCTATAACAAGAGTATATCTATCCTAATAAAAACAAAAACAAAAAATAAATAAGAAAAACAAACCCTTTTCGTTCCCAAAACAACTATAAACTAAAAAGAGACCTAACTAAATCTACCTAATCTTACGTAGGGAAAAATGAGTGAAATTTGTAATAAAGACTGAAGCCTAACGCTATAAAATAGATGAGTCCCAACGGCCCCACCGCCCCCACGCCCAGTAAACAATTATTCAATCTTTCTCCCATTACCCTACAAAAAAAAATATTAGTATTTTAAACTAAAAACCAAAGAAGAAGAAAAAATTACATTTTATTGAAAATTGAAATTTGCTATCGGAATTTTTTATAACGTGAAATCACGTGACTTCGATTGATAAATGTTCGCGAATACGCCCTTCTCACTCCTCCCGTTTCTTCTTCGTTCTATCCTTCTGTTCTTGTTTCTGCCTTGCTATCACAATCTCATTCTTTGGCGATACTGGCTTTGGCCTTTTCTCTCCTGTCTCCTTTTCATCTGTCCATCGGTGTTCCTCCTTAAGGTTATGTGTAAAATCATCATTGAGTTTCGTGTATTCTTGCAGGATTTTGTTTTGTTCCGCATGACTGATGATTTTATTTCCCAAAAGAAGGAAGTTATTTGTTTGCATCGCCCAATTTTTAAATTTAGGTGATACATCCCCGACATTGAAACCATTCTCTTTTTTGACATCCATAACTGCTTGCAAATTAATATGTTCCCATTCCATCAAATTTGATGACTCTTCGAATATTTCTTCTAAAACAGTCAATTTTTCCCTTAATTCATTTGTGGACGTAATTGGTCCTTTTTTTGAATTATAAACAAATTTTATTCGTGCGATAATCTCTTATAATATCTACGACTTCCTCCGTATCAACGTTATCGCGTCGTAGGGGTCTATTGGCTGTTTCTTCCATCGTATTGATTCCGTAATCTTCCTCGTCACTTTCTGAGATATCCGACTTTATCTATTCTTCTTTCTTCTTGTTCCGCCAGTCTTTAATCATACCAACCACTTTTTCTTCCTCCAAATTGCTCTTCTCGTTCTCGTTTCTCGTGACTGGAGGTGGAAAATTTTTATTGTTTCTTGATGCCATATTTGTTAACTCCATGTAAATTCTACCAGGAGGTGTCTGCAGTGAAGAAACATTTACCTCTAGAGGACTATTGTGTGGTGGTGACGGTTTGTTTGAGGGGTTTATCTTCTCTTTTTTACAACTTGTAAATCGTCTTAAAATTACGCACCATCCAAATTAAATTCAAATTGTTCTTCTTCAAAGAAAGCTCGACCGCGTTTTCCATCATTTTTGATTAATAAAATATCCTATCACTTTCCAATTTTGTGTGATCTTGATAATTTTAATAAAAGCAGCGGTATATTCCTTTTGCAACTTCTTCATAAATTCGTATTCATTATCTTCTCTCTTGAATTCCTCTCCATTTCATCTATAGTTAGGTCTCTGACTAATTGCCAATTGTCCCAATCTTGTCTCATCTTTAATCCACTCCCTGCGTCGTACCATCTTATAAAATGTTTGCTATGTATAATCTTTATAATAAATTCAGTCATTTTATTCCTATATGACCGTATATTAATATTATTAAATTTAATATGAAGATTATGAAAACGAAGTACCACTTTCGTACCATTATTAAGCACGCTCGTACAATAACATACAATTACTGTATACAATTGAAACATTTTAATAAATGTAAATATTCTTTTAAATGGTCAAATGATCAGGTCATTAATATTTACACGAACACTGGATACAATTATAATTTGAAAATTTTCTTGTAATTGAATTTAATTTTATATGTGTACATAAATAGTCTTTCCTAAATAAAAAATTTCTTAAGTACCATAAAAAAATATTTTCAATAATAAGAGTTGTATTATTTTTTTATATTTTCATAAATCATGTTGCCATGTTATTATGATACATAATTGTCCATAAATTATAAATAAATCATGTTATTCATTAAAATAATTAAAATGGAATTTAATCAGTCATATTTTTTCAAGTGCTTAAATTACACTATACAATATTTTCATATAGTTTGACAAAAAATTTTTATAAAATTGATAACTATATTTATTAAACAACATAGTTTTTTCAAAACTTGATTAAAGTGTTTATAAATTCGATAATATATTGTTATTTATTATTATTTATTTACAACTTTGACAACACATTTGATAACGATCAAGCTAAATAAGGCAATGAATAAAAAAGAAATATATATATATACTGCAGTGTTCGGCAAATGACTTGAAATGAACAAATGACTCAAATGACAAGTCATTTGTCATTTGTCATTTGCAACTCAAATGACCTGTCATTTAAGTCATTTGAAAAATATTAAATATTCTGCGAATTTTTATTAATTATTTTGTTTATTTTAATCAAGAAAAAAAAATATTAAAACAAAATTGGTTTAATATATATAATCAAAAAAGTTCCAAT